AATAATAATAAAATGGGAAAGAAGAAATTCAAAGACGCGGCTTTCTCACGCGGCATAAAAGAAAGCAAAGGGTAGATTTAAAAAAAAAAAAAAAGAAAAAAAAAAAGACTTCCCTCACCTCCTTCAAAGTGTATACACCTACAGGTTTATCATTTCTAAGGAACGATAAATCTCTGCAAGATTATTTTGGCTACGTACACGCAAACACACCTGTACACTCGCGTGTCCTTTTCTATTCCACGATTAAATGTCCCTCACTTCCCCCTTTTTACTTCATAGTACATATGTACCCACATACATACGTTCTAAAAAGCGTTCGAGAGATTTTCGAAGATTTTCATATTCACCGGCCGAAAGCTTTCTTTGCCGAATAGGGAAAGAGCAAGAAATAAAAGAAAAAAAATTGCGAAAGATTTAGCGTGTACACATTGAAAGCATATACACACATACATGCATACACATATACACGATATACGCATGCTTAAGCAAGCGAGAATGCGAGTTTGTATAGAATACGATCTACGTAAGACGTAATTGTAAATCGATACGATTAGAATATGGTTTTTAGGAGGTACGATTAATAACGTTAATTTTGTTAAACCACTTTACTTAAGGTCCAAACGACGATGGATCGTCTTGGATCGATAAACGCGGTGCGATGAAAACGCGATCGAACGAGAACGTTCGAGCGTTCGAACGAATTAACAATGAGAAAAGAAAAAGGAATAATATGAAGAAATATATAGAAAGAAATAAATAGAGAGATTTTGAATCGTTCGATGTTCGAAGGTTTTCGATGAAAAAAGGCTGTAACATGGAATGCGATAGAGAGAGAGAGAGAGAGAGAGAGAGAGAGAGAGAGAGAAAGAGAGAGAAAGAGAGAGAAAGAGAGAGAGAGAAATAGATAGATAGATAGATAGATCGAATGAATGAATGTGTGCGACAAGAGAGAGAGAAAGAGAGAAAGAGAGAGAGAGAGAGAGAAAGAGACGTTTAAAAAACGACTCGAGAATGAATGGCAGCAGCGAAAATAGCAAAACGATCGCGGAACGTGGTTCGTTGCTTCGAAATATGTGATACGTCGACCGGCGAGCGCGATTCCGCTTCCGAAGATCGATCGATCGCGCTTTCGAAATCGCCTGTGGTACCACAGCGTCCACTGGTAAGAAATGGATTATGTAAGATGGATAGTAAATAAATAAATAAATGAATAAAAAAAAAAAAAAATTAACATTATGCTTAGGGAATCGGCTCGCAAGGGTGACGCATTTTTTACAGATTTTTCGTAATAGGACGCTCTTTTGTTGAAGGTTCATTGTTGTCAAAATGGTTGTGAGGTTATACTATTTGAAGTATGTTAACGGTTCGATGTAGAGATCGATAAATCGGTAGAATGACTTTTCTTTTTCTTTTTTTTTTTTTTTTTTTTTTTTTTTCTTTCGAATGCGAATGATACGTGTGCGATTAATCGCCAAGGGAAGAATCGATTTATCGAAAACTCGTGCGATACGAGACGAACGGAGAAACGTGCGCTCTACATGGAGATCATTTTGTTATTATTATTATTATTATTATTATTATTATTATTATTATTATTATTATTATTATTATTATTATTATTATTATTATTATTGATAATATTGCCGTTCAAATTTGCAACTTGACAGATCTTTTATGTTTCGTTTTCATTTTTCCAAGGGGAAAATTAAAAAAAAAAAAAAGAAAAAAAAAAGGAAAAGAAAAAAAAATGCAAACATTCGATCGATCGGCCAGAAAGCGCACGTTTTTCTCGTGGAACATTGTCGTCTCCGAAATAGCATACAACTGGCATTTAAACATTATACGCGGAGTTTGGTCGTCGCGCGTGACGAGAGAGCGAGTTCTCGATGATTATCTTACGCTTTCTCTTAAATTCCCTTTCGCGATCTCTCGCGAAAACGCTCGAACATTTCGCGAAGGAAATTATTATCTTTGTATGTATATATATATATATCTATATGTTTATGTATATCTATATGAAATTAAGAAGATCAAGAAAGATATAGGTCGAGATCGTAATTACATAAGAGATACAAACTGAAGTAAGAAAGAAAAATAGAATGAAAGAAAGAAAGGAGAAAAAATGGTAGGAAGAAAAGATGAAAAAAGACGACCAAACTGAACGAACAAAATGAGACTGATATAGACCAGTATTCTTGCGAGAAAACAAATTGTAAAGCGAAAAACTTGTCTAACTTGTAGCCTTATCAAGAGAAGGAGAAAAAAGGGAGAGAAAAAAGATAGGCGAAAAGAAAAACAAATTAGATGGTACATATTTAGATCGATAAAACGATCGCTAAAGAAAAAAAAAAAAAAAAGTAATAAAAATAAAAATAAAAATAAAAATAAAAATAAAAATGAAAATAAAAAAAAAAAAAGAAAGAAAGAAAAGAAAAGAAAAGATTATATTATCTCGATTGGCTGTAAAAATGAAGAAGAATAAAAAAAAAAAGAAAAAAAAAAAATGAACTCGCCTTATTCGAAATTCACGAATGTATTCTCTTCGACTCTGTCGATTTAATAACATTATCGAAGAGATACGTTCGAGAATTTCTTGCGCGGCGATTAATAGTGAGAGTAATGTTATTAAATAAATTTAAGTGTAATTATTATTACGAAATGGAATGGAATAATGCCAGTTGTAAGAGAAAAAGATAGATAGAAAGAAAGAAAGAAAGAAAGAAAGAAAGGAAAACGCGTATTCGACGGCTTCAAATAGTCTCGGTGATACAAACACATACATAAAATATACGTATATACATGAATACGCGGTACATGACATACATACACACACACACACACACACACACACACGTACCCACATACACAAATTTCATAGAGGCGCACAACTTTCGGCCTCTCGCGCGTGCTATGATTTTCTTCTCTTCTTTCGGACCACGAACGATCGTACGTGTTTCACGGAATATTAAATAAGAGTATAGTAATATATATATTAAAATATAAATATATTGAATTGATTTATAAATAAGTGTCGTTATAAGTAAATCATTTATTACAATAAAATAATACTTATTTATGAATCAAACCAATATATATATATATGTAAACATATATATATATAGTATATTCGAACTTTGGCACGTATCGTTTGTGTGAAGAACGCGCAAAAGAAAAAAAAAAGAAAAAAAAAAAGAAAAGAAAAAAAAAAGGAAATAAAAATAGAAAGAAAGAAAGAAAAATGAAAGAAAGAAAGCAAGAAAGAAAAAAAGAATGCAGAACGACGGAGATGTATCTCGTCATGTGTATACGCGATAAACTTTTCGAACGACAGCTTTACCGTTAGTCAAGTAAAATAGTTTCGCAACAATCGATATATTATTACAAACGATGCAAAGTCCACGTATATACATACATCAACATTTAACACATAAATACACATTAACACAAAATAAATCATCATTCGTAAAATGATATGCATAGAAACGCACGCTCTCATATCCAAAAAAAAAACGTGAAAAAGACACTAAACATGAAACGTGAAGCAGGGCGATGATTGAAGCGAGTGACAAATAAACGACATACAAAACAAAAATACATGTAATGAATATAATGTTTGCAGATAGGTGGGACCAAAAACGACTTTATATCTCTATGTGCATATCCAAGCAACGTGTAATTTAATTAATGAATTAATTAGTTATCCATTATTAATGACTAGGTAAAGAAAAAATGATCCATTGATAACGATCGAGGATGATGACGAACGAGTAATGAATAAAATTAGACGATTAAGTTTGTTTATTAATACATTATATGATTCAATGGTTATTATTATTATTATTATTATTATTATTATTATTATTATTATTATTATTATTATTATTTTATTACAGTGATTAATGTCGATGATAATATTATTATTTAAAAAACGTTCTAAGACATGAATTATTTAGATGTCAAATAGGACATTGCGTATCTATAATTATTAATTATTTTTAATTATTATTATTATTATTATTATTATTATTATTATTATTATTATTATTATTATTATTATTATTATTATTATTATTATATTATTAATTATTATTATTATTGAGACCTTTTGTTGTATTATTTTCAATAAAATGAATTGAAAATATTATTTTTCATCTTCCTTTTATTTTAGCTTTTTCGAGCGGCTTCTAAATCGTATCGATCGTCAATTTCTTTAAGGATAAATAAATTAATGATCGAGAGAGAAAGCCTCTCGAGAAGCATCGTTATGTAAAAGTATTTTATTTAAATTAAAAATAGCTTTACATTCATTCCCTCGCCATAATTCCTTCTATTATGTTTCTATTTTCTTTTCTTTTCTTTTCTTTTTATAAAAACAGTTCTCATCACCGTCATTCATAAAATTTCATTTCTTATCATTGGCCGCGTCTGTAAACAATTTTCTTCCCAAAGCTAGAATATTTTTTTCTTCTTTTTAATTGTCAAATATTCCTTTCAAAAACATAAATACAATACATACATATATACATACATACATACATACATACATACATACATACATACATACATACATACATACATACATACATACATACATACATACATACATACATACATACATACATACATACATAATCACACGTCGTGCACAAGTACATATATACACACACACGCAGAGACACACATACACACGCGCGCGCAGTTCTTTCTCTCCACGTTTATACTTCTTCTTCCCACTCTCGCGTATCTCCGCGATGATTTTCGTAAACTCGAAAGAACGGGGACGTCGAGAAGCGGTTTAAAAAAATGAAAGATAATGCGAGGACAAATGGAAACAGAAAGATAAAAAGAAAGAAAACGAAAGAGAAAAAGAGAGAGAGAGAGAGAGAGAGAGAGAGAGAACGACGAAGAAGGTACGAAAAGATAAGAATGATAAAAGTGGAAAAAAAATAGTTTAAAAAGTCACACACACGTATACACGTTACACACATACGCGTACACACACACACACACACATTACAAATGTACTAGGTAAGTTCATAACTGCGTATTGCCTTTCTGACTTCGGTGTGAAAATATATAAATAAAAAAAAGTCAGTCGTGCCAGGACTCACGGATTTTCGGATTAATCATACAATAGTTGTTAGTTTAGTCGGCGACAACGCGATTGGTTGGCTCTCTGTTCCTTCCATCAGCCTGATTCTTCTTCTTATTTTTCCTTTTTCATTTATACATATATATATATATATATATATATATATATATATGTATATATACATGTATATATATATATATACATATATATATACGTATACATATATATATATATATATATATATATATATATACATATGTATTTCTTTTTTCTTTTGATATGAGAAGATCCGATCGTAAATGTCTTCTCGAATATAAAACTGTATTAATTTTTATATTAAGGTAAATTTTCTCCCTACAGAATTCTCTTCTCGCTCGCACTTTTTTACTTATTCGTTTATAATATTTTTTCGAGGAAGGATCGGGCATATCGCAAAGACCTTTTCCACGATATTCCGTGAATAATCTCATACCGAAATCCGCGCGTCCAAGGCCGGCTGTGTCTGTTTCATGTTTTTCAATATTTGTAATTTATCGATAAAATTATAAAAGGTATCGATACATAACAGTCTAAAGTGTGCGCTACTCTACATAATATTATTATATATAAAGTATAAAAGTATACATTATATATAAATATATATATATACATATATATTATATATGAGAAGTATAATATATATATATTATACACACATTGGGATTGGTGAAAATATACGGTTTTTTCGCTTTGGAGTGTTATTTTCTGAAAATATTGAACAAAATATGGAAAAAAAAATGAATAAAATCAATGAATAAAAAACAAGCCAGACGTTTTCAGTGCGATTCCTCTTTGCTCACTTTATGCCCATCGATTTTTTTTTTGTTTTGTTTTACAATATCAGTTACATAATGAAACATCTTCGCTCTATTTATTAATCGAAAATGATGCAAAATGAAGAAATTGATCCGCCCATTGAATCGGCGGACTCTTCTTCAGTTAGATACATGAGTACATTACCGGATTTTTTCAACAATACTATTGGAAAAACATTGAAAATTGAGAATTTCAAGCCGCAAAACATAATCGAGTAAACCATAAAAATCGAATTTAATACAAGTGTACTTAAAAAAAACACACACACACAAATGTATAAGTAATTTAATTCATTTTTTTTTAGAGTATTAGGAGATTTCCTTGGTATCGTAAACTATAATACAAACTTAGCATCATTTTGGTTTTTGGATATCTTAGCTCTACAGATACTTCGAAATAATGACGTCTTTGATGACTATTCTCGTGCTATCTTTATCAGCTGGCTAGTAGGAGAAATACAATTGATTCGAGGTAAATGTAAAATAAAATTAAAATGGAATAAATGTACAATCATCTATAAGCTTAAAAGGTTTCTCATATTTTCAGATAACAAATTTTCACGTGAAAAATTCTTCGAGGAAATGGAAGCTTTATTCGCTGCCACAGCTATGAAAATTGTTCAAGGCGAAGAGATTCCTCATTGGAATCTAATTACGTTTGGTGATGCAGAGATGAAATCGGAAATAGAAGAGGAAGAGCGAAAATTATCGCAAGAACGCGATTTATCGTCTCTACAATATTTGGAATCGGTATGAAATCATAGAATTTTATTAAAATGACGAATTATTTATATGTCAAATAAATTTATAGAGAATTTTTCTTTTTTTCTTTTTTTTTCTTTTTTTTCTTTGTTTTTTTTTTAGAAAACATACACTCCAATAGAAAAAATATCGAAGGAAGAAATAAAATCGGCAGAGATGCTTTTAGACGTAATTATACGATCAACGTACGACATGTCAGTAATAGAATTTTATCGTGTATTTATATATTTTTTTTTTTTATTTCTTTGTTCTTTAAAATTTTTAATATTTTTTAATTCACATTATCAACAGGTACGCCGGCGAAGTACGTTATGCTCTCGTTTATACGGTATTTGTGGAACCAATTGAGATAAAAGTTCACAATTTACCTTTTAGTATTCGAAAACCTCGTCCAGTTAGATTAATAGGCTCCGATACTGGACATCTTTATTTACGACTTCGAGAGGCTTTGCAAAATGTCCAAGGAAAGGATGGCAAAAAATTGAAATCAAGTATATTAAATGTTATTTTATACATATGATGGATATATACATTAAGAAATATTATTTTTAGAAAAAAATCTGACAAATACGAAGAAACAATATTTAGATAAGGAATTGGATACAGAATATCCATTACAACCATCGAATTCTTTATCGGATGAAGAGTTTATTTCGTTAAAACGTAGTTTTATTTTACCATTGATAGAATCGAATGAAGCTGCTGATATTTTTAATTTTTATGAACAAACAGTCTAATTATTGAAACAATTTAAGAATCATTCAATTATAAATTAGTATGGTATAGGCATTGATTTTTTCATTTTCTTTATTTAATATTCTATTATATACAATAAGAATATTATCTACTAGAAGAAACAATTTCAGTCGATATCGTTGTACCCCATTCTTCACATTTAAAGTCTATTATATTTTTACAATCTAAAGGAATGTTTAATTTAAAAAAAATTGTAGAACTTGTAACTTTTTGCCGTGACTGTCCTAATTGTCCATATTTGTTAGAACCACAACCCCAGAGTGATTTGTCATCTGTTAATTAGAAAATTATAAAATATAAGAAGTTGCATTCGACATAATTAAATCGTACTAACCCATCATACAAATAGTAAATGTATTTCCACATTGTACTTTTTTTACATTTATATCTATGCATTCTTCTTTATCATTTTTGAAATTGATGACTGTAGGAATTGCTACGACTTTGGTGTCTCCGTTTGGTATACCTAATTCTCCGTTTACATTCCATCCCCAAGTGTAAAGATCTCCCTAATTTTTATAAACAAAAATTTTACGATTTTTTTTTTTTTTAAATCGTTTAAGTATTATTAAATTGATTAGTAACCTGATCTGTGACAACAGCATTATGCCAACCAGCAGCAGATATTTGCACTACGTTAAGACCAGCCAATGCTTCTATTAATTGTGGATCATCGCAATCTTCTAAATCACCGTGTCCCAATTGTCCACGGCTATAATATAATTGTAATATATAATATTTAAAAATTAATTTATTATGTTGAAATAATAAAGTTTTATAAATCTATTACATACGTTCCCATACCCATCGAATAAACATCGCCATTTGATGCTAACATTATTGTGTGATCAAAACCACAGGAGAAATCTACAAATTTTATCCTTTTTGGCATTTCTACTAAAATAGGAATATTAAAAATACGCCCTAAAAATAAATGAAAAATTTTGTTATACACTCAATAAGGGCTTACATTGATTCATTTAAATGTATTTTAAATATATTCTACCTAAATTTGTAAGAATTACTGTACATCCTCCTTGTGATATTTTGATAGGATATTCTTCTTTCAATTCATTGCTGGCATTGATAAAATTCGGAACTTTCTTCCAAGATTTTTCATAAAGACGATATTGCCAGATTTCATTAGTCGTTGTTGATATTATTACGCTTTCCTTTCCAGCGCCAACAATTTTACACCTACACTAAAAATAGCAATTTATTAATGGTTATGAATATATCTTACAAATGATATAATTATTTATTTTCTATTTTTATAAAATTATTGTCATTACCTTCCAGATGATTCTGGAATTTTTAATAACTCTGGTGCTTTCTTATCATCGCTATTATCTACTTTTCCAATAATATATAATTCCAAATCTCTCCAAAGAAGGAAATAGTTCCAACTAATCTCCATATTTGTAATACCAGAAAAAGGAACTTTTGTGAATTGATCCAATGCTATAACAATGTCTTCTTCTTCCGTAAATAATGAACTTGCATTGAAACCAGCATAGAAGAGCGTCATATTTCTGTAAATTATTTAATAAAATAATTGATATATTAATAATATCATTATTGTATTTTTAAAAGTTGAAATTTTTTTTGTCAATATCCTTTTTAAATTTCATTGATCAAAGGCTATTAACAGGAATAGAATATAAATATTTTACATCTTAATATTTATAAATATCATTGGTTAAAGAGAACAGATGGCATGCATGAGTTTCCTTAGATACGACTAGAAAACACAACAAACATCGAAACGCTTTTACATAACAGAGTCGCATAGTACGTCGCATAACAAACTACTCCCATTTAAATATTTTGTTCCTGTATCAGTGACCGCTTAAAAAATAATGGTAATAGAAAAAATGATATGAATTTAAACGATTGCGCAATATATTATGCACTTGATTTTCGCACGACGTTTAATATATACAAAAAGTACACTACATATCGCACATAACCTATAAGACCTAGTTTAGAACAAAAAGGTATGCACGTAATATGAGATATTAAAATATTTCTGTAAATACTTACGTCGTTTTGTTGTTATATTAGAAATTGTTTATTATTTATTACGTATATTGTTATAATATTCAATGAAAATTCATGGAACGAAAAACAAATCATTTCAGATTGCAATCCACCCTAAATAAAATTCTTTGCACTGTTGGTAGTATTGTTTAAGAGATTTAGGAATATAAGATTTGATACAAAAATTTAATTTATATATTTAAACTTTATTAAAATATATGTATATATATATATAAATCTTAATATATATATATATATACATATATTTAAAAAATTTGTCAGTTTATTTATTTATCGTTGAAATTTTAATGATAAAATGTAAATCGAGATATATCCTTTCGTTGTTGGTAACAATGTCTATCGATCATTCATCCGATTTAAAAATGCATACTTATCTCATTCATTCATAATCTTTTATCATTTTATATTATTTATTTTATTTACTTCAGGGTCTTTTATCTATTCTGAGAAAACTACGTTCAAATCCTGAGAAAGAATTACGCCTTTTACTTCTTGGTTTGGATAATGCTGGCAAAACAACGATTTTAAAATCTTTAGCTAGCGAAGATATTACACAGGTAAATTATATATCTTTGAATTAAACAACGATTATTATAAATATTTTTTAACAATAATTTTCATTTTATTAATAAGGTTACGCCTACGCAAGGTTTCAATATAAAAAGTGTACAAAGCGAAGGATTTAAATTAAATGTTTGGGATATAGGAGGTGCAAGAAAGATTCGACCCTATTGGCGAAATTATTTCGAAAATACTGACGTTCTCGTAAGTAAAATAATATTAGAGTTAGTATTAAAAAAGGGATAAGAATATTGCAAAATTATTTCAAAGAACATAGACGTTTTTTTTTTGGTAATAATAATATGATATTATTAGGGGGACCGGAAAGTAATATCGCTTTCTTAAATTAAATTCAAACGAATAAATTTTGAACAAATTTTTAGTCACTATCAAATATCGACATGCGCAGAAACGACATTACTTTCCGGTCCTCCTAATATACATTACAGTATAAAAAAGGAAAAGTGAAATAATATCAATGAAATAATATCGTTTTATTTCTTTATTTCCTTTTTTTTATTTTTGTCATTTCTTTTCTTTTCTTTTTTTTTTTCGAAGATCTACGTTGTAGATAGTGCCGATATCACAAGATTAGAAGAAACAGGGCAGGAGCTTTCGGAACTTTTGTTGGAGGAAAAACTCAGCGGTGTTCCATTGTTGGTATACGCGAATAAACAGGATTTGGGTCAAGCCGTGACAGCAGCGGAAATTGCAGAGGGTCTTGGACTTTACAACATCAAGGATCGCGATTGGCAGATACAATCGTGTGTCGCAATCGAGGGAAAAGGTGTTAAGGTAAATATTATAGAATTGTGTATAACATAATTAAGAGATTATCGAATTTTTTTGCTTTTCTTTTTTTTTCCATTTAGGAAGGCCTGGAGTGGGCGTGTAAAAATATGAAAAAAAAATAATGAAAGAACGATCCTTCTCCGATCTGTACAGCTTGTACATTCCAGTCATGTTTTATTCATTGCTTTTATCTAATATTTACAAGAAAACATTCACAAAATGCTATTATTCGTAAGTCCACTTCGATCACTTCAACATTCTCGTCTGATCGACGATCAAATTTTTTTGCTTCTATGTCAACAAAAAATTATGACAAACGCGCATTCAATTACTTACGAAGAATACGAACTAGCAATAAGTTTGATAAACAAATTAAAAAGAACAAACTATATATATATATATATATATATATAGGTATGTATATCTATATATTTTCTAATTGAATTAAGTTAATAATTTTCACATCGTTGTGGAAAAAATGAATGAAAGATATAAGAATGTATGAGATGATAATTATTAACCCGCTCTTGATTCAAATCCGATATATAAATCCTTTTCAACGAATATTATTGATTGATACAAGTTTCTCGCTTTTGTAACTGTACACTGTATTACTTGGAATCAAAACAAAGAAGAAAAAAAAACAGTACACAAATGAAAGCGTACATTGCACAAGTAGCTACTCACGTTATCTAAAAGATATTATTATTCGTATGTTATATAAAACACTCACGATTATTATCGTATTATCGCGGCAACTTCCTCGTATGTACATACATACAAACGATATTATTAAACATCATTGTAACCTGTAAACATTCACTGGCACACAGCGAAGACCTTGATTTTTATTAACGTCTCTTTGATATCAGGGAAAAAAAGTTTTTACACGTATATCACGAAATTCTCATAGTTCGTTGTGTTCTATATTTTCAGTAGTTACTCTGATTTCTTCTTCGTGAAATGACGTACAATTAGCTGGATATTTCATCTAGAAAAAAGAAAAAATGTAAGAACATTAAGAATGTTTTAACATTATAACGTATATATATATATATATGTATGTATATATATGTATATATATGTATATATATATGTATATATATGTATATATACTTACAATACATTCACTGTGATCCATTAGAGATCCATAAAGTGTCCAAAAGTTGATATTTATTTTATTACTGATAATCCAGGCTGTTGGGAAGCTTAAGACTTTCGTGATCGAAGTACGTAACATCGGTACATCGTTTTCATTCTTTTCGTTGAGAGTACAAAGTATTTGAGTCGCACATTGTGGATGTTTGATCGCCCATTTGTATGCACGATGAGACTGATAATATTATGAAAGGAGAAATCAGTAAATCGATAATTTTACATTCGATCGAAAACAAAAATGTTACTCACTCTTAGAATGGGTTCTACGATATCGTTATTAATCGTATTGCTTAGCTTATTACTGAGTTCTCTGGCACTTATTCTTGACATTATGAAACCTTTTTCAGAAGCTAAATTAACGAGTTCCTGAATATAAGCGATCGCTGGTCCAACGTATTGACTGCTGTCTATCTTCATATTCAAATGTTTCCTAGCAGCAACGTTCAGCAATCTATTCGAATATAAAATTTTATTAATTATTATTTATTAAATAGATTATTATTAATTAAATAAATAGATCGATATATTATTATTAATTAAATAGATCGATATATTATTAAAATGTTTAATGAAAATATACCAACCTAGAAATACTCTCAGCTGGCTTGTTAGCGTCGAACATGACAGATCTTGGATATCCCTGAGATTTGAGGAAACTGTTCCCAACAAATTGGATGGTCGTCATGTAACGTTGTCTTGTCGATGGATCGGACACGTGAGCGATCCATTCTGCTACAAAATTCGTTGACAATTTGATCCAACGCCGACGTAAAGAAGGATTTTCAAAACTTCCAAGTATCTTTTCGTACTCTATATTACCATTCTCGTCTGACATTTGAGCGACAAATGCCGACAGGCCACTCTTTTTCCAAATGGCATGACCTAACTCGGAATTACTGCGAATAGAATTTGTCATCTTACATATTTTCTAATAATATCTTTAATATAAATAAAACGTATAATAAGATCGATATAAATACCTAAAGTGATTCCACATAACATGAAGATTTTCCAAAATGGGTGGTAAGAACCAAGAATGTCCAGAATGATCATATTTCTTCGAGGAACCTGTTGATTCTCCGCCATTGTTGAAAATATCTATGATCATAGGTAAGAAACCTAAAAGAGCTTCACCATTTTCTTGTTGTCCTAATAACATTTTACCGATATTGATTATGTTCTTGAAGTTAAAGTTCTGTTCTTCTTTGCTATCATCTGTATCTCTGGTAGACCTTTTTTTATCGAAAGATCCACTCATCGAAGAGAATGTATTCATTAAGGAATCCCAAGATATATCATTTTGATCATTTCGTTCATTTGCTAACATATCACCAACTTTCAAAAGTATCTCGCCAATTCCACTCTCACCAGATTTGTCACTTCCTGTCAGCGTGTCACTGATCTATTTATTTCAAGGGATAAACTTTATTCCGTAAGATATCTAGGGAATAGATAAGTATCGTCGAAGTAATCATTTTTATACCTGTTTGCCCACATCCGATTGTACGAAAGCACTCGCTACATTCTGAAGTCCACCAACGGCATCTCTATTCGTAAGAAAAGACTTGGCAGCTTCGATAAAAGCGCTAGACATGTCGTGTTCATCCTCTGTCTCACAACGACCAACTGCCAGCAAAAGAAAGAGGAGCCATGTTCTAGATAGTAGCCACATCATCCTCAGAATCTCTGTCTCTTTCTCTGTCTGTAAAAAAGATTTCCTGTATGATTTTCGAACGGTATATATTTGTTTTGCACTTTAAATTTATATTCCAACGTCATTCGTTTTATCGTCGTGGATGATTTTGAAGAGAAGTAAGGTAGGTGTCGTTGACCCCGGCGATTCCTTCAACCGGATCTTGATTCTGGTCGGGTTATTTTAGGTTGGCACGCCCCATCCTCGTTGGGACGATTTTAAGCGTTTCTATCATCCACGTTTTATCGAAGATACAATCTTAAATTTCGTCATACGGAAACGTATAAATTTGACGTGAAAGCCATGATTTCGTGACGTTAAAAACTCGCTTCGTAAAGAAGTCATTGCACTTTATTCCAAACAGACGAATTCATTTCTAGATAGTTTTATAGTTCCAGAACAGACGAGTTCGAATAGATAGTATTAACATCGTTTAAATATGTTTATTGTTTTCACCTGTGACTCGTCAAATTTATCGCGCTCCGTAAGGAAGGACGAACGCGATCGTTATAAAGTCAATGTATCCCTCTAACGCGCAATTTGAGTACCGTAAACCGCATGAAATTGGCATTCTCTAGCTTGGGTAACGATTCGGTCTAACGGTACGAGCTGTGTTAGTCATCGTTCCGCCGACGCGCCAAACTCTTCGATTGTTGGTCCCTTTGTCATATTATATTATTTTTGTATATAAGTCAAACAAAAGAACAAGACTTTATTTCTTTTGTTATTCATATATAAATATAATTAAATATCAATGTATAAGAGGATATATTTTAAATGTGTTAAAATATAAAATGTTATTGACGGAGATTTACAGATGGATCGAAAAAATCAGGCATGTTATTTCAAAGGGAAAATATTCTATAAAAGAAATCTCGTATTATTCAACTTCTATCATTTATTTCTTTTTTCATTTCTCTTTGAAATACCGTACTAATATTTTCCATTTTCCGTATGTATCGTTCTTCTATGTAAAACAGATGCTCGAAACAGAATCTCGATTAATGATCTAACGAATCGTATTATTGAGTTATCGATCGATGAAAACAAAAAAAAAAAATTGTCATCGATAAGCCAAGAAAAATAATTTCCATAAACATTAATCGAACCAATTGCTTTCAACATAATCATAGATCGCATTGTATTACTTTTGTCGATGAATTCTTTAACTCAATTAATTCGTTGCAAAAATTTAATTTTTCTTATAATTAATAAAAAAAAAAAAAAAAAAAAGAAAAAAAAACAAAAACAAATTAAATAAGTAAATAAATCTTTATCATATCGAATCAAATCATATCCTAGTTCACAGACGATGAATTTCTTTAATGAACAATGTAGAAATAGATCGCTATGTGAGATCAAGTTTTTCACCATTTCAATATTAATATACAATTTTAAATAAATTATATGAGTATATTTAATACGTAATAACCAAAATGATAAATAAGATAAAGAAGTAAATGGCGTATATGAACCAAACGATCTATTTCCTTATTCCGATAATACAAAAATTCGCATTTACAACAGTTCTAACGAAAAAAGAAAAAAAAAAATATAAATAGTTGCACATTATCTTGATAATTAGCATTTTTTTTCTAACAATAAGTCAGCAACCAACAGCGAAAATGTGCTCTTTATCAACGTTACTTTTTCATTTGCATAAACAAGGGACTTACAATTTTATTTGCTTATTTTTTTTTTACAAAAATAAACGTTACAATTCTTCCACATTCGCATGCTTCGCGACGAACCGGAACGGCAAAGAAGAGTTCAATGCCGTGCATGTTTAATAACGCGTGCCGTTAAAGAGCATTCGAGTCTCTCGATATTGCACGAAAATCATTTAACGGTTTCTTTAATTACAACATTGTAATATTTTTTAACGAAAAGTTTTTTTATTTAAAAAGATGTTTGCATTCCATAAACAATTCGTGCTTTTGAAAATAAATTAGTATTTTTCTTATCGACTTATAGATAAAAGAATAACCTTGACTGAATAATAACATTTAAAAAACAATTATAATTGAATCGTTTTGAAATATTACATGTTATTAACGTAGTTACTTTTAAAATAAAAAAGTTACATTTTGCAACGTTGAATCTTTTAATAAAAAGGTATATCAAATGTAATCGACGAATCACTAATTTATATATCAATGATTTTCATTGTATATATTTATTTTAAGTGCAACGATTTGATTTTATTTTGTTTCAATTAAGTAAGCATATATATATACTGAAAGATTGATTATTTATGAACCATCTTATTAAAGTTAATTGTTCAATATGTATATTAAAATTTACTAAGCATAAATCCTGTTACTTACTCATTATAAAATTGAATTGGAACGCACGGGCACGTTTAATGATTTTACTTTTCTATGAGCATCGATAAAGTTGAATCGTGCGTACTAAATCGTAGGACGAAAGAAATGAATTAAAAATCATGGAACATGATGTTATACGTTAGAAGAATAAATCTTTTAATTGGGATGAACATACGCTCTTTTGGATTTCGAGGTAACGATGTAATTAAAATGGTTTACCGGTTCGGAAAATTTGCTATCTCGATAGACGACTGTTGCCACAATTAAGTACTGTAATCGGTGTCAACTAGAGCGTGCTGACTGGAGATTTTCGAAGATAAATAAACGAAGTAAAATCATCGAAATTTGCAAACCTAAATAGATCCTTAAATGAATATTATATTCGTCTACGTTGATATGTTAATAGAAATATCGAGTCATATATCAATATTTTTTTCTTGAAAATTTCAACATTATTTATAGCCTAATCGAATCATTTCTAAAAGTTATTTTCTAATTTCAATTGATATTAATTCATTAATAAATATAGAAATTTACCAGGAAACGATGCGATTATTTCTTCTTCTTTATTCCTCTAGATTCAAAAGCACGTTATCGATGAGAACGAATCGTCCGGATGTAATGCGTCTTTGAGAATGAATTTCAACGAAAAAAAGACGCTCGTTGTTGGGTAGAACGATTCAGTCGGTCCTTTCGGTCTCGACTCCGTACACTTGACACAGCGAAGGTTGTGGCGTGACTGGTGTCGGACGTAGCTGAACGAACGGTACTTACCTGAGTGAAGCGTACCTGGCCTACGAACAAACGTGGCGAGCGAGACGAGCAGGACGCAACACAAAACGAATACGATGCAGTACGACACCTTTGTTTTTTTTTTTTTTTTTTATTCGATCTCTTTTTCTTTCATTTCTCCTTCTTTTTTTTTTTTTTATTCATCATTAATTATCAATTAATCGATAGAAAAAAAGAAACTTGGATCCATTGGTGTCCTTATAAAATATTATAAATTTACAAAATGTTAAGATATTATCCTTCAAATATTTCTCTTAACAAAGTATGATAACTAATATGGCAGAGTCAGTGGATATTTAATTAATTATGTCTTACAGTAATGTTTTATAGGAACGTCTCGAAAAGTGTAGGTCATTGACCTCCCCAAAAAATTAGGGAACTAAAGTCCGTGGATGGTAACGTCGGCCACTCGATTCCAAGTACCAAGGTCGCACCTTGTTCGATACAATGCCAGAAAGAGCATTCAACCGGTTCCAAAGTATGGCTCGATGCCAAGATTTAAGTGCCAGATGATCGTTGACATTCCTTCATGGATTTATTTATTTTCTACCTTTAGTCGTATGCACATGAGTTATCGATTAAATGACATGATTCCTTGACAAACAATTCTACGAGTTCCTCGTATTTCCTTTCTTTTTTTCAAAGTGTTAATTGTAAATCCTATTTTTCGCCATTAAGATATACTTATCCCTTGAAATACATCGTGTTTCTATTTCACTCAGTCCATTTATGTTATACATTCATTCGCATTTGATTCATTTGAAATCTTTCTTTTCTTTTTTTTTTTTTTTAACTATGTCAAAAGGAAGTATATTTATACGATATAAACGAGTTATCTTTATAAGTTTTAACTGTTTCACATAATATTTTTATTTGTTTTTTTATTATTTTTCTTTAAAAAAAAAAACAATCTTATTATTCGACTATTTAGCAAATAACAAACAAATCACGTCACTGCATAAGTTTTTTCTTTTCTTTTTTTTTTTTTTTTTTTTTCACGAAATTCAATAAAAAACTAAATTGTCGCACATATTTTTAATTGCACATATTGAAAATCATTAAATTTATTAATACGTATTCAAATATTCGTACGATCCATTGTGATACGTTATGAAATTTCTTATTACACGATATTATTACATGAGAACGAATAATTTTATTTGAAATGTATTACTAAATAGTCATAAATAAGGCTTATCTCGTAATTATACGATTGTTTTGTGGATCCTCCAGTGAATTCGTCACTTTTAACGTTTTAACTGCAAAACCGATAAGTATAGAAGGATAGATGAGGACTTAATTTTTTTTCTATCGTAAAACTATGACTTTGCAGTTTGTATGCATTAGATCATTAATATATTCTAAGGGTATTTATTACTTGAAAATATTTTTTAAATTGTAATAATATATTCGACAATTTTATAGATTTTGAAATAAACTTAATGTATTACAATGTATACGTATAAAAGAAATGTCAAAATTTTAATTAATATTTGGTGCAATAAAACGTTATTTCTTTTTTCAAATTTTTAACACACATCGTGTTAACAAATTAATGTTTCTGTTTCTAAAGAAAAACAAAGAAAAAGAAACAATTTTATTTTGTTGAACAATTATTTAAATAGCATTCGAGTATTTTCATGATTAGATATATAATAATCGTTTAAAAACCGTTCTTATCGTAGATACTATTTTCGAAGGACTATCGTCTGTTCTAAGATCGTACTAGTTTTACGATACTCATACAAACGATGAGGTATGAAAAATTGATTAGTTTAAGAACCGATTCACGTACTACATCTATTTTCTTCCCCTTTCGTTATAGGTCTTTAAAAAGAATGAAAGACTTCGAAAGTGAAGAAATATATATTTTCTGCTTGTCAATTGTAACAAAAGTAAAGACCCGAGTGAAACATGATGATATAGTTATAGTATGCTCTTTAAAGATATGTCATTCGGCCTAATACGTATACATATATATATACATATGTATATCGTACAATACTCCTTTAGAAAGGAAAGAAAAGGTTTTCACCTGAATAAATGATCAAAGTAGATAGAACATCAAACTCGTCTTTTATGTTTCTTTCTTTCGATATATCGAATATTCGAGTTAAAGAAAGAAGAAAGAAAACGGAGTTTCTTTGTGTGAATCAATGTCCTAAGATGAAGAGGAAATCAGAATGGAATAGAGAAACAATATATGCTTTGAACTTATACAAAACATTTCTTGGATTGATCGGAGTTTGGCCATTTGATGTGGAAAATTTGTCATCCAAGTTACGTTGGTTCCTGTCTATGTTGATACAAGTTAGTAGATGCATTAGCAATAAGAATTCAACAGTTGAGATACATTAATGAATCATCTAAACACATTGAATCTTATAATAATGAAAAGTTTGTTGACTCTTGCAATAAAATATACAAAAATTATGTGTTAGTCAATGTTGTTAACTTTACAAAACAAAAATTTTAAAGCTCATAATCGATATATTTAGATGAGTACGATAAGCAGTCTATCGTTAGAGGTTTATCGACACTGCGTGGATCTCGATGATACCATGGATGCATTTTTAATGGATCTTTCGTCACTCGTCAGTATCTCAAAGTTATTCCTTACGAGATTGAATTATCGACATACTCGTTTCTTGCTATCTTCTATCGTCGAAGATCTTTCAATTTTGGATGATTCAAATCAAAGAGAAATCGTGATGAAATATACTACCAGAGGAAGAATCGTTTCAGCAACTATACTTTACTTAGGTTACGCATCTGGCATGAGCTTTATTTTCAGAACTCTACCACTTAATTACGTTCTATCACAAAATATCGATCGAAATGAAACGTACAATTTAAAAGTAACGAGTTATTTCTTGTCAACTTATTGCGTTTTCAACGATCAATCAGGATTTTGGCGTACTGCAATCCTTCTTCTTCAAACTATGCAGATTTTTGTTAATGCTACCTCTCATTGTGGAAACGATGGCTTCTTTTTTGGTATTGCAATGCATCTCTGCGGTCAATTCGAAGTACTCAGAATGAATTTTGCCAATTTGGAGAACAAGAAGAATCTTTCTTGTAAAAAAATAGGCGTACTTGTACGTAGACACTGTCATTTGATTCGTCTTGCTGATAACTTAGAAGAAGCATTTAACATGATAATATTGATACAGTTATTGATGAGTGCTTTACTTCTCTGCGTCGAGGGTATGTTATTTTTTCATTTATTATTATTGTCAAATGGACTTTCGTTTAAGGGAGAATCGCGTGATATGATCATGAAAGATACCATATATGTATATTTTTATACATCCCTGTGTATTATTATGTCCTATAGAAATATATTGTTTTAGTGTGAAAACGAAATTATTTTCCAGGCTTTCAAATGTTGGTCTCGCTCGATGCTAATGACATTATTGCAACTACCAAGCACGCTGTCCTAATCGTCACATTACTTGTTCAAATATTTATCTATTCTTACGCAGGTAATATGCTAGAATCAAAGTCTGCCGATTTAGTTCTCGGTGTTTATGATTCTCCGTGGTATACTTTTGACACGAGTGTCATAAAAAATCTAGCCTTCGTCATTTTCTATGGTAGAATACCACGTCAAGTGACAGCTGGTAAATTCGTTTCTATGAATTTTTTCACTTTCAAAGAAATTATCAAAGCTTCGGGCTCTTATATTTCCGTATTGAGAGTAGCATTATACGAATAAAGGTTTGTTAAAAAAGTATTTCTATTTTTTACTTTTATTATTATGACAATGACACAGCAAAGTCAATCATTTTGTATTAGTTATAAAATCAATTGAAAATTATTATTGACACTCATGGAGATTAGATGGAATTGATTGATTTCATGAATTAGAACTCTATGAATAGACTTCTATTTCTATACCATTATGGTTTCATTATATTTTCTTATAGTCTACACATACCGTGTCTCCTTTGATTTTTTACGGAGAATGTTTCAGACTGATTTTTTAATAAACTATGAAAGGATAGATTATAGAAAACACGAAATGTCAAAGCAACGATGAAGGAAGCTTCATGTAATAATTAACTTGAATGAGAACGATTCACAGATATTCGATGACAGCTCGTATTCCAAGCAAAATGTTTCTACCTTTTCATTATATAGAATCTCATTACAGTCAGTAAGCGTTGGTCTTCGTATAAGCTATAATTTCTAAGTGCAACAGGTGTGCGAGAACCATTGCCTAGAAATGTGTATGTAAACGTACATATATATGTACAATTTACAGCATCTATGCTTTGCGAGAGTGTGTATGAATAAAAAAATTAAAGAAAAAGAAGACTTTCTATTATCTCCAGTCAAGACGATGGCATGTGATTTTACGAATCTGAAGTTTATCTGCTTACGTTAATGTTTAGTTTATGACGATGAATCTTGAGAAAAGGAAAGAGGGACGATGACATATTCAACATATTCGGTATTCTAAACGAATATATTATAATGTAGTTGGAACATTTGGCTTATGAATTGGCTATTAAATTGAACCTCAAAAAAAAAAAAAAAATGAGTCGAATCATTAATCCTATGATATTTAACTGTTTCTTTGAGATAACGTATGCTTTCGTTAAAAACACGAGATCTCTATTCTTAGAAAATGATTATAATACAATTAAATTTTCAACTTGCAATCGTTACCTTCATCTAATAACAACAAAAATAGACTTTTCATGGACTTTGACGTTTATCGAATTAATTTTCTTTTCGAAATTCTTTCTTTTCATCCGACTAAGATTAAATAATTTATAGTTTCGATTTTATTTTATATACATCGAGTATAATTGAGAAATATTTTAATAATATTACATACTATCGCGAAATAAAGTTTGCGTTGGTCGCGATAACAAACTCATTTATTGTTTCTTAGATTCGAAAGCGTTCTTCATTCAACGTGCGAACGTCAATGAAGAATTAAAGTAAGCAAACTTTTTTCTGATTAATTTCAACGATTTTTATTTTTATTTTTATTTTTATTTTTATTTTTATTTTTATTTTGATACGAATAATTACAATCGTTCGTTCATATTTCAATGCCATTTACAAAATCTTTCCTTTCTAATTCTAAGGAAACATTAAAATACATACATTTTATATTGCTAATCATACTTCAATAGATAAATAGATGTAGTAAAATTCTATAATAATTTCTTAAAGAGACACGTTGAAAAGTTTTTATTTCTTTATTATTTTTATTTTTCTCATTAATTTTTATTATTTCTTATTTATTTTTATTTATTGAAGCACTTAATAGAGGAAAGTTTGTGAATAACATTATTTCGTGCGCAATTATTGACTGTCGGTGCATTTGATTTTCTCTCTACTAACTTATTGGCTTATCAATGATCCTCTATCGATATAAGCTTAGCGATCAAGTCATATTATTCATTTATCACGATCACCATTTTTTTTTTGTTTTTTTTTTTTTTTTTTAGAAATGAACAAAACTTCTGGGATTCTAAACGATTTATTTTATAACAGACAAATTTCTTCTTTATCGATTGAGTCGTCGTTAAGAAAGGCAGCTACTTTGGTCGACGATTGAAAAATATCTCTATATTCCTCACGATGGATTTGTTTATATCTTAAAAATATTCACAGGAGAATATAATTTATCCTGGAGGTGGTTCGATTTCGTGTGCCATCTCTCTTTCCACTCTTTATGTGATTCTAATAGAAATTCAGAATTGTTGGAAAAATATTCACACTCCCTGTAATTTGAATTTTTGAACAGGAAAATATAATTTACCCGCAGATGATCCAATTTCACGTGACACCTCTTTGGACGTCATGTGATCCTGATATAAATTCAGATTTGTGGGAAAAATTTCGATTTGTTCATAACTTGAAATTTATTTCAAGAATGACATAATTTGGAGGAGAATATAACTAGTTAACACGATTTCGCTTATGTAAATCGTATAAGGAAAATAATGATAAGTTTTTATTGAGTACAAATTGAATTTTTCTTCACGTTAAGATTTATTTGAATTTTCATTATTTATACATAAAATAGATATATTTTATTTTATAATTATACAAATACTTATTTTATCATATATATAATATGTATGCAATTTCTTTTTTAAATATTAATTATGCAAACAGTTTTATTTTGTAATTATATATATTATTTCCAATTTTTACGATTTTCTTGATTATGTGTCAGTGTTCTATGGGAAAGATGATTTTCAATAATTTTCAAGTGTTCCCATTATTTTTATTATATTTTTAAGTGCTTTTATGTAATTATATAAATGATCTCCGGCATTGATTGGCTTTATGTACTTTCAAAATGGTTGAAAGAATGATTTTCTTTACATATTCTAAAAAGTTGTCCAAAAAGTTAATCGTTCGTTTGTTTTTTCTATAAATCAGAAATAAATTTTGTTAAAATTACACTAATCTATTCATATAACTTGCTTTGAAGAGTTATTATCGATATATACTGCTTTTGTTAAATATGCTACTGAATAAATTAAATTTAAACATTATTGTCACTAATGACATTTTGCTGTATAATATATACAATGAGATAATATCAAACTAAAAGGAGTGTAATTTTAGTAAATGTCTATAAATTTCTGTAATTTTAATAAAATTTTGGAAGTGTTACAAGAATGAAGGTTATACAATATATTGACAGAAAGAAATAAAGTTACAGTACGTATTAATTTTCATGTGACGAAAAAATATTTTCTGCATTTCGTATTGGCAAAGTATCGAAATAGAAAATGAAATATTTTCAAAATGGATTCTCGATGTTTTTTATTTTAAGATGCGACCGACAACATTAAATCAATCTATTGAATTTCACCATTGAATTCAATTGAAAGAGTTTATACTATTAATTTATCTATTTACAATTTTTGTTCAATTTTGATAATCATGTTTATTGATAAATTTACGTAAAATGTACCTACCAGTGAAGGAAAACACTTGTATCGGAAGAACTTAATTTTCTTACTTCAATGTTAAAATGGATATTTTTCTTGCTGAGTGTAAAAGGTGTTTATGATGTCTACCATTAATAGGAATAAATGTTATGTCAGAAACACAATTTTGAGGACGGTTTAATTTAGTTGGATACATTCTCAATAGTTAGAAAAATGTAACAACACCAAATTATGCCTTATCGTTCATAATGTTACCGTTCGTACAAAGAGCTATAGTTCCTTGTAATGTCCAGGAATTACAGAAGCTTCTGTTCAATTTCCCATGGCTCTTATTCATCCCCATCAATTTCGTTTATTTTATTCCTTGCGATCTATCACGAATAATACACGAGATAGTTTGATCGATATCTATATCTTGATGCGTTTATGAAAAGTTTCTCTAGCTCTTTTACTTTTTTCTTTTCTTTTATTCTCCGCTATTTTATTACGAACGTCGTGTCATCACGAGTGGATCTAAGAAAATGTCGATGAACGATGTCGTCTGGAATACTGACGCCACGTATGCTTTAGGAGTATACAAATACATAACTTGGACAACCGGCATATGGCCGCTAGACGACGAAGGAATATTTTCAATGATTCGATTTGGCATCGCTTTCGCTTTGGAGGTAGAACAAAACTTTTACTTTGCAGGAATACAGAATATATCATTGTAACGAGGACAGGCGCGTCGCGATATATCGTTGATCTTTAAGAGATCGTTTTGGAATAATAAAAAAAGAAAAAAAAAAAAAAAAAAAAAAGAAAAAAAAAAAGAGAAAAAGAGAAAGAAAGATGCTATGAGTGTGCTTTAAACTGTCTAAAAACAATTTCGGTAGTCGATCCTTTCTTCACTCATATCGTCTACCATAGTTCAGTGCACTAGTTTCCGTTCTGATGGAAATCCAGCTGAGTTGCGGCAACACCGACGAGACTTTGGATTTCTTTGGGGTGTCCGCGTCATCGGTGATCGGTCTAATCAAACTAATATTCATCAAGTTACATCAAGAGGATCTACGGAGGATCATCTTGTCAGCACTGAAGGACTGGTCCATGTTCGCCGACAGATCTCCGGCAAAAGATATAATGTTGAAATATACACATAACGGCAAACTGGTATGCCGTATGCAAATAGGCCTCGGTCTGGTTATCATTACAACGATGATATTGGATGCTCTGCCAGCTTCGGAGTCATCTCTTTTGAACAATACCACATCTAACGATGAGATTGTTAAACGAATACCTCTTAAGACGATGTGCCTCTTTGGCAACATGTCAACGTCTACTTATTGGACAGTTTTCATTTTACAGGGAGTACAGCTGTTGGATGCTGTAATCCTCGATTGTGGAAACGACGTTTTTTTCTTCGGAATTGCCATGCATATTTGCGGTCAGTTTGATGCACTCAAGATATTTTGCGAAGAATTTAAAGTGGAAGATGAAGAGAATCGTGCTCAGAAAATCAAAGAATTTGTTGAGAGACATTCGCACATCTTGGATCTCGTTCATCGACTCGGGAATAGTTTCAATTATATTCTTTTGGTAATTTTAATGGGCAATGGATTGCACATCTGTTCAGCAGGTAATAAGTTTCGTAACTTTTTGAGTATGAATGTATTCGTTACGTTTTCAAACTTTTAGGAATACAAATAGTTGTGTTATCGAAACAAAGCGACCTAATTCCTCTTATCAAAGCAGTTCTTTTATTCAACATACTTCTCGGACAACTTTTTCTTTATAGCTACGCTGGCGATTATCTGTCATCGTTGTCCGAAAACATTCACCATGAGATTTACAATTGTCCTTGGTACGAATTCTCACCGAATATTATACGAAATTTAAAGTTCATCATTATGAGAACGCACATACCATTTCGCCTTAAAGCAGGAAAATTTTATGCTATGGATATGGAAAATTTCAAGAGCATCCTAAAAGCATTTTTTTCATATTTTTCTCTCTTACGAATAGTATTCGACAAATGACAATACATATTTCGTTTGCATCATACGAAATGATGATCAGTGTAAGTAATAAAAATAATCCTAATTAAGCTTAATAACTTATCGTCTACTATTATCCATTATAACTTAATTGTATAGTTGAATGAAATAAACTCAACGAAAAGAAAAATATTATTTCTAATAGTACCTCTACGATACCGTTAATAGGAAGTTTATTTTTCAAACTTACTTGATTTTTGATTCATCTTTGCGATCCATTTTTTTTCTAATTTCATATTCCCTTTGCAACCTTGATTTATCCTCTTATCACCATGTTTAAAATTCACTATACACAACACCAACGAAGTCCTTCTACAGTGGACTGTGTCGAGATTGTTTTGTTGCGAAGCTCTACGGTTACTCAACAATTTTATTAGTAAGCATAAGTAAAATATATTCATCATCAATAAAATAGATCGAAGAAAAGAGAGAGAAAGAGAGAGAGAAAGAGAGAGAGAAAGAGAGAGAGAAAGAGAGAGAGAAAGAGAGAGAGAGAGAAAAAGAGTACATTTTCTTACTACAATATTACTGTACAAAATATTTACCAAGAAGACGCTTTCTAAAAAATGACGTTAAAGGTATGAATTCCATAGAAAGGAAATTCGACAATGCTATAATTCAGCTATGCATATGGTATGATAAATATAACCGAACATAAAATTATACGATATACTCTGTAATATTATCGCTCATGCATAAGTTCATAGTTTGTTGCATTAAGCATGAATTACGAAGCTCGCGTGCATATTCCCATAGCTTTACTCATCGCCATCAATTACGTTTAACTTGTTCCTCGCAATCATGCGGTAATAATACACGTGACAGTTTGATCCATACATTTTGATGGATTATGATGAAAACTTTCTCCTCTTTTATTCTGTGGTATTATATTGAAAATATCATAACGTGTCTTTGAAAGTTTATCAGAAAAAATGGATATGGAAGACGTTGTCTGGAATACTGATGCCAAGTATGCTTTAGGGACATACAAATTTATAACATGGACTACTGGAACATGGCCTTTACAGGATGAAGGAATATTTGCGATGATTCGCTTCACTATTGCCTTCATCTTGGAGGTAATACAGTACTTTTTCTTTAGAAAAATAACAAAGATCGTTGCACGCAAGACATACAAATCGTTATATAGGTATTAGAAGAAAAAAAAAAACATTAAAGAAAATTATAAATGTTTTAAGTGTACTGTATATGTAAAATTTAATATCATCTTGAACTGTTTTTAACTCGTATTTTTTTTTTTAACCACAGTTTAGTTTATTAGCTTCTGTTCTATTGGAAATCCGACTAAACTGCGGCAATACGGACAAGACATTAGAGTTCTTTGGATTGACAGCAGGAATGACAACGGGTTTAACAAAATTAATTTTTGTCAAGTTACACCAAAAAGATTTACGAAAAATCCTTTTATCGGCAATTAAGGATTGGTCGTCGATAGAGGTAAAAAATTCTTCAGCAAAGGAGATAATATGGAAATATACTCATCGAAGCAAGCTGGTATGCCGCGTACAAATGAGTTTGGGTCTGTTAATCATTGGATCGATGATACTGGATGCTGTGCCAACATCAGATTCCTTACAGCAGGACAATACCACTTTGAGTGAAGAGAATATTAGACAGATTCCACTTCGGACTATGTGTCTTTTCGGCAACATGTCAACGTCAAGTTATTGGACAGTCTTCGTTTTACAAGGAGTTCAGTTATTGAATTCGATAGCTGTTAATATGGGAAACGATGTTTTATTTTTTGCTATTGCCATGCATATTTGTGGTCAACTCGACGCACTAAGAATTCTTTGTGATGATTTTAAAGCGAATGATGAGAAGGATCGAGTTTTGAAGATCGAAAAATTTGTTCGCAGACACTGCCATCTGTTGGAACTTGCTCAACGACTTGAGAACACCCTAAATAATATTCTTTTAGTGAATTTAATGACCGATGGATTTCACACTTGTTTAGCAGGTATTAGATTTTCTAACGTTTTCATTATAAAAGACTCTGTAACATTAATATAATTTTCAATTTTTAGGAATACAAATCATTATTATGTCTAATAACATCGACATTGTTCCTTTCACCAAAGTGAGCTCTGTGATCATCATCATCTTAGTACAACTTTTTTTATATAGCTATGCAGGTGATTCCTTATCATCATTATTCCAAGATATTTGCCAAGTGATTTACAATTGTCCATGGTATGAATTCTCACCGAATAACGTGCGAAATTTGATGTTTATAATTATGAAAACACATATACCATTTCATCTTACGGCGGGAAGGTTTTATATCATGGATATTGAGAATTTCAAGAACATTGTGAAAACATGTTTTTCATTATTTTCTCTTTTACGAATTGTATTTGCAGAGTGAACACTACAATGATGTAAGTAATAAAATTTTATTCTTCTCGTCTTAATTAATTCTATTTACATTAAGTGTTCCTGTGTAAATAACGGTATAGAAAAAGATTTAATTCATGATCAACTAGTTTTAATCTAAATTGTGTCTTGATCGTATTTGGATTGTATTTGATTTTTTTATTTTTTTTTTTTATTTTTATAAACTTACCACTATACGCTCATAGCTTAATTTCTTGCGGTTTCCTCCAATGGAAATTGTTATGTCCAGTTCGTTTGATGAAAAACATTCTGCACGTTGAACATTTGCATTTAGTCATTAGGAATGAAAAACATATATCTACAATTGTAGAGTACATTTGCAAGAGAAATATATTGTACTTTCTTATCTTCGTATTACTCGACAAGATACGATAAAAATGTTATTGGAAAACCTTCATTCAGTATCCATAGACATTGAAACTTCACTCGACACTATAATTCAGAAAAATATAACTCAGCCTAAAATAATGTGATATTGTCCATAATGTTGGCACTTAGGTTAAAGGGTCGTACTTTGTTACATCGGGTATAAATTACGGAACTAGTGTGCATTTTCCCATAGTCCTTTTCTCATTCCTAACAATTACGTTTAGATCATGCAAGAATAATACATGGGTTAGTTTGATCTATGCACTTAGATGCATCTGCAAACTTTTCCTTCCATCTATACTGCTTTCTATTCCTTTATTTTCTTGTATCGTATCGCGGACATTGTGTCGTCACGAGTGAACCTAACAGAATGGCGAACGATGATATAGTTTGGAATACCGACTCCACCAATGCTTTAAAAATATACAAATATATAACTTGGACAATTGGCACGTGGCCGCTACAGGATGAAGGAATATTTGCGATGATTCGTTTTGGCATATCCTTCGTTTTAGAGGTAGTACAATAATATTCACTTAGAAAAAATATAAAATGTCATTGCAAAGAAGACAGACACGTCGCGATAAGTTGTTTACCTCTTTACATCACTTCGCCATAAAAAAAGAAAAATAAAAAGAGAAATATTATAAGTATTAAACGTACACAACTTTTTGGTTTTTGGTGCGTATCATCTATGGTTTCGTATCGTCTACGACAGTTCGGTACATTAGTTTCCGTTCTGATGGAAGTCCAATTGAATTGCGGGAACACCGATGAGACTCTTGATTTTCTTGGAGCTGCAGCATCAACGTTCTCTGGTTTAATGAAATTAATATTCATCAAGTTACATCGAACGGATTTACAGAGAATTATCTTGTCCGCGCTGAAGGATTGGTCCTCGATCATTGCTATTTCTTCGGTGAAGGAGATAATGTTAAAGTATACGGAACGAGGCAAGTTGGTATGCCGCGTACAAATGGGCTTTGCATTGATCATAATTTCAGCAATGATATTAGATGCTTTACCAAAATTAGACTTATCTCAGTCGGATAGTGGCACTTTGAACGAAGATATCCTTAAACGGATACCTTTAAGGACAATGTGTCTTTTTGGCAACATATCAACATCAACTTATTGGACAGTCTTCATTTTACAGACGATCCAGATGTTGAATGCTGTTTTCGTCGACACTGGAAATGACGTATTTTTCTTTGGAATTGCTATGCATATTTGTGGTCAGTTCGATTCACTCAAAATATTTCATAACGAATTTAAAATGTTGGATGAAGAGAATCGTGTTCATAAAATCAAGGAATTCATTGAGAGGCACTCGCATCTGTTGAATCTTGCAAGACTACTCGAGAATACCTATAATAATATTCTTTTGGTAATTCTAATGACAAGTGGATTGCACATTTGTTTAGCAGGTAATACTATTTTTTACTCTGATATAAGATTCATTAATGTCTCCCTGATACTGATCCAATTTCCAACTTTTAGGGATACAAATCATGTTGTTATATAAACAAAACGATATAGTTCCTCTTGTCAAAGCTGTCGTTGCGTTTATCATCATTTTAGGACAACTTTTTCTATATAGTTACGTCGGGAATTATCTTTCATCATTATCCCAAGAAATTTGCCAAGTGATTTCTAATTGTCCTTGGTATGAATTACCACCGAGTATCGTTCGAAATTTTGTGTTTATAATTATGAGAACACACGTACCATTGCTTCTCACGGCTGGAAGATTCTATCCTATGGACATGACGGGTTTTAAGAACATTTTAAAGGCTTCTTTTTCATATTTTTCTGTTTTACGAATCGCATTCGAAGAGTGATGTTATATGTGTTCCATTTGTAATATAGAAAATGATGATCACTGTAAGTAATAAAATTGGTAGTAATTAAGCATATCTACGTCATGTCTTCTTTTATTACGTATCAAAGAAATAATTCAATTTGTTCAAATTGGATAAAATATTATTTAATACATCGATATCCGATGTTTTTTACGTCTCTGTGACTCGTAACTTATATCTTGTCTAAAGCTAGATTTAAACTTGTAGTCTAGCGTAAAGAAATATATTGCTACATTTAAAGTTTGATGATGATATCAAATTTTTGTAGTTGAATCAAACTATTAATAGTTAATCAATTATTATAATAGTTAAATCAAATTATTTTTCACGTAGATAAACACAATATGAATATCACATTTCACGAACTTAATGCATTTCATTAGTTACACTTCACCCAATTAATTCATTTCACGAGTCATATCGCACGAATGAATTCCACAAATCACATTTCTTACACTTAACATATATCTTTCACAAAAAAAAAAAATTGTATATATCGTCGATACAATTTAAACTATTGTAATAATTATATTTTAATATAGTTTTCATTGTGTCGATTACTTCAAAAAAATAACTCCTGTAGTGCGGTTATATCAAAATTTTTTTCATAACACCAATAAATTCTTTTCCAATAATATTTATTATGTTCAGCCCCTTTAATGAATGATTCTCTTTATGCTCGACATTTGTATTCGTAGGTAAATATAAAATAAACCTAACATCTCGATAATATATAATTCATATGAAATAAATTTTCTTACCTGAATGTTACTTAAAAAAAATATATTTACGAGGAAGATGCTCATCGTGAACAACGTCAAAGGCTTCTGCGATGTCTACCATTTGTAGACATAAATGCTGCAGAAATTGTATTCGACGGCGCTGTAATTCAGTTACGCATATGGTATGAAAAATATAACCAAACCTAAAATTATGCGATATAGTCTAATATTACCGTTCAGGCAAAAGGTCGTAGTTCGTTGTATTCAGTAGAAATTACGATGCTTGTCTACAATTTCCCATATCTTTACTATTCCCCATCAATTTTGTTTCACGATCTTGCTCGAATAATATATACGACAGTTTGAAGCATACACTTTTTTGCATTTGATAAAAACTTCTTCTTCCTCTTTTATTTCTTTCTCTTTCTTTCTTTCTTATTTATTTCTCTTCTTTTATTCTCTCGAATCGTATCGCGAGTGTCGTGTCGTCGTAAGTGCATCTGAAAAAATGAACAGTGACGATGTAATCTGGAATACTGACTCCACCAATGCACTATGGATATACAAATGTATAACTTGGGCAACTGGCACGTGGCCGCTACAGGAGGAAGGAATATTTTCAACAATTCGTTTCGTCATAGCGTTCGTTTTAGGGGTACTGCAATACTTTTACTTATCAAGAATAGAGAATGTCATTGTAAATGTGACAAGGTGCTTTAGACGTTACATCGGATAGATTGTAAATTATTTCTTGATTGGTATTATCTATCACAGTTTGGTACACTAGTTTCCATTCTGATGGAAATCCGACTGAGTTGCGGTAGCATCGATGAGACATTGGATTTTTTTGGAATTTCGCTTTCAACGGTGGGAGGTCTGACAAAATTGATCTTCATCAAGTTGCATCGAAATGATCTACGGAAGATCCTTATATCAGCATTGAATAATTGGTCCGCTATCGTCGACAGTTCGTCTGCAAGGAAGATCATGTTGAAATATAGCCAACGTGGCAAATTTGTGGGCCGTATGCAGATGAGCTTCGCTTTTGTCATCATTACAGCGATTATATTGGACGCCATTTCTTCACCGGAGGCTTCCCAGCAGGAGAACATAACCTCGAGCGAAGAGTTCCCTAAACGAATACCTCTTCGGACTATGTGTGCCTTTGGCAATATGTCAACATCTATTTATTGGACAGTTTTCGTTTTACAGTCAATTCAGCTATTTAACGCAGTACTTATTGAAAGTGGAAACGATGTTTTTTTCTTTGGAATTTCTATGCAGATTTGTGGTCAGTTCGATACACTAAGAATATTGTTGGAAGAATTTAAAATGGAAAAGGAGGAGGATCGTGTTCCAAAAATCAGGCAATTCATTGATAAGCACTCGCATTTATTGGATCTTGCTCGACGAGTCGAGGACACTTTCGCTAACGTTCTTTTAATACTTTTAATGACCAATGGAGTGCACATCTGTTTAACAGGTAATACATTTGTATTTTTTAATCACGAATTTCTAATCGATCTTAATATAGTTTCTAATTTTTAGGGATACAAATATTGTTGCTGTCCAAACAAAATGATATAGTTCCTCTCATCAAGGCTACCGTCGCGTTCATTGTCATCTTGATACAAATTTTCTTATATAGCTATGCCGGGGATTTTCTCTCGTCATTAACTCAGGATATTTACAATGTGATTTATGATTATCCTTGGTACGAATTGTCACCGAGTAACGTTCGAAATTTAATATTCATAATTATGAGAGCGCATAAACCGTTTCGCTTGAGAGCCGGAAGATTTTATCCTATGGATATAGAAAGCTTCAAGAACATTTTGAAGGCATCTTTTTCATATTTTTCCGTCTTACGAATTGTATTCGAAGAATGATTGCATTTGTCCTATTTATAAACAGCAAATGATTATTAGATAATAAAAATTTATAGTAATTTATGATCACGAATTCATTAAAAAAAATAATAGATGTAATCGATTGAAATTGTCGAAGGAATGCGATCAAAATTGTTTTTATTTTTAGCCGTTGTTAATAATAAATTATTATCTTTAATATCATTATTATTTTTATTATAATAATAAGTTATAATACAGTTTTAGGTAGATGCAGAAAGAAGAATCTATACGAAAGAGAGAAGAGACATAATTTCCCTAACGCACTTTTAACTCCTATTTCAATAAATTTTAAACAAACTAAATGTAGGACATTAATTTCTTAATATCTAATTAATATTCATTCTTCGATCTACAACACATTATATTCACTTCCAAAAGATATTCAAATATTATTATGATATATAATATATTCTATATGGTAAAACGAACCTTGTTTTTAAATTTGACGTCGTCTCTTTTCAATTCTTCTTTTCTTCTCATTTTTGTGAACAAATTCGTTAACAATCTTGAGTTCTTCGTTAAACAATACCAGCCGATCAAACCAAACTCTTCGACGTTCGTATGGTATCTTTCTAGAACGTAATGGAAACACTATCGGATCTATCGAAATACAAGTTGAAACATTCGTGGCGCATGCTCAGAGCAAAAAAAAAAACTAAGAAAAGGGTAAGAACGATTGCAGCGATAGCGTTCAGATTAAATAAGAAATGAGTCAGGAAATGTTTCTCGCTACCTAACTGCTCGTCTCGTATCTATTACGAAAGTGGTATGATAGTCGATAAAATGACGATGAATGATAGTGTTCAATCAGCACTGGGAGAGATCATCAACCGAAAATGGAAAAAATGCCGTGGAACGACGACATTGCCTACGCGATGACCTTTTACAAGTTCTTAACATTACCAATAGGTGTTTGGCCTCTTCAGGATTACAATTTTTTTTCGACTGTTCGATCCGTCGTAACAGTGATTATTCAGGTAAATCATTTCTATCTTTTATTTGGAAGATCTATCTGGACCAGAAAAAAATACTATGATACTTATCCCAAACATTAATTCTAATATTTTCAAGTAATCAATTTCATTGGATTTGTTACATGGGCATTTGAGTTGTTCTGGTATTTAAGTTACATCGAAATGACATTTGTAATAAATATCAAAAAGACATAACATATAGATAAAGATCCATAACGTTTAATCAAGATCATCTATTTGGATTAATAATTTTCTTTTTTTTTTTTGGACAATATTTTTGTTTGAAGAAAAAAGATCTTTCGACGGATTATCTTCTTTCTCTACAGATCCTGATGGTTTTATTTCAATGTAAAGAACTTCTTGCTGGCTGTAACAGTAGCAATGCCAATTTGGACAGTCTAGCAATAATCGCATGCAATATAATGGCAATCATTAAGATTGGCTGTTATCGATTTCATTTTCGATATTTGATCGAAAATTATGAAAAAGCTGTAAGGGATTATTTGCAAACTAAATCGTCGGAAGATCTTGGAATTATGAAAAGACACGCTTTCATCGGCAGAAGCTTATGTTCCAGCCTTATATGTTTCTCCTACATTGCAACGTCGATCTTCATGATTGCACCTTTCTTCATGGGCTCCGAAGAAACAATTATAAATGGTACGAGGATGAGTCTTCCCAAAACGTTGAGTTATCCGATGCCTTCCGATTGCACTTTGGGAAATTTCAATGTTTCCATTGTACTATACTGTTGCATTTCTACGTTGGATATCGTATTGTTGATTAGTACGTGCAATGGCAATATCGGTAACGTATCTTTCTTATTATTCATACTTTCAAAAAATTATTACGAGTTACGTAGAAAAGTATACGTTTCACTTTGAAGGTAACGATTGTCTTTTCTTTGGTATTGTACTACATGTCTGTGGACAAGTTGAAATATTAAAGATTCAGTTTACACGATGTAAATACAAAAAAGGGATGAAACGAGAGTTTGAAAATCTTTTATCGAGATACAGCGAATTATTAATTTTGGCCGATTATCTCGTCAATACGATCAGCTTCGTTCTTATAGCACAGTTATTCGTCAGTTGTATACTCATCTGTATTATAGGTAATTATAAGTATGTAATATGTTATAATTCGATTACTTAAATCAAAGACGTTTTTATTTTTTTAAGGTTTTCAATGCATTTTGGCTCTGCAGTATTCCGATATTTTCATGATTGCCAAGTCGCTGACAGTACTTAGTACTTTTTTGTTGCAACTACTTATATACAGTTACGTCGGAGAATATTTGAGAAATCAAATGGAACAAGTTGGGTATGCCGCTTATACAAGTGCATGGTATGATTTTCCAATATCTTGGAGGAAGGATTTGATCTTCCTTTTGATGAGATCTCAACAACTCGTTGAAATAGCGGCAGGTTATTTTTTCCCGGTTAACATGCGAACTTTCATGAGTATCGTCAAAACATCACTCTCATATCTATCGGTACTACGCGTTATGTTATTACAAACATAAATGATTTATGCGATAAAATGTGGCCAGCAGTATAAGATTTGCATTGGTTATGAGTTACAATATTCTTAACATACTTGTTCTTCTTTCCTGTAATAAAATTATCTCTCGAGAATATTTCTCTTCTTTTCTTAATTACGTGCTACTAATAGTACTATTGTATATAGTCCATGAGTGAAATTAACCATAAGTGTGATTGAATTATTTGTCTAAAAACATTTGAATTACATATATCGCACATTTTCCTTCCTATGTCTTTTTATACTTTAAGACAATCGCAATTGTGTTACTACATCGAGTATAATCCTTTGTCAAATTAATAATATTAAATCGCTCGCTGATGAATCTAAATAACAATACAAAAGCGTTCGAAATTTTGTTCGCGCACATTATATTTCTGTCAGCCTGTCTTTCTGTTTTTTTTCTCTTTCTCATAGCAACGTTTCTACAACAAGAAATGTGTCTCTGACAACGTTTTAGTTCGGCTGAGGTTAGGAATCGCCGCCTTTATGATAAATTTTTCGGTTACAGCGGTTTATGTCAAATGAAATGCGCTTTAAGAGGACCGCTGTTCCGTTTTGGACTCTAAAACAAATTCTTATAAGGTAATTACTCGGCATTGATTTCTATGGAAATATAATATAATAACTCTACAATGGGATAATATTTAAAGGTAATACGTAAAAGTTCATATCGATTAGTGATTCGAGATGAAACGATCATTCGGATTTTACAGGCTATTGTCTAGTGCAAAAAACGGAGGTGGTAAGAAAGAAGCATGTGCAAAAGTGGCGAAATTCGAATCATGCCAGTTGGATCCTTGTACGTTGGATCCATGCAAACCGGAACCGAGTGTAATTATTATTGGGGCAGGAATGGCGGGGTTATCAGCAGCGCATCGTTTAGCGCAATGCGGTCTGCAAAAATTTACGATACTGGAGGCAACAGATAGGTAAGACTCTGTCCACGATATGTCGATTTTGAATCATAATTTTAGATGGTGACATATAGTTCATAAATTGTTAATGGAATAGGTACGTATTATGGTAATGAAAACTAAGATCATGGATATTAGAACTAATGGTTATTCGTACTCGCATTTGATACATTAACCAACTGAACTATGTATATGTATCGTTCCGAATCTCAGGCCCGGCGGTAGAATTCATTCTTGCTGGTTGGGAGATGTCGTTGCTGAAATGGGAGCAACCTGGATAGAAGGTGGAAGCGTGACAAATCCTGTTTTTACTCTAGCGGCACAGGAAGGACTTTTAAAGGCACCCCTCTCTAGACCCGAACCAAATCATGGACTCTTTTGTACCAGCGATGGTCGAGCGATCGATCTACCGGTCAGCATCATTGCTTATCATACCTTCCGACAGATCGAACAACAAGCAGCGGCTCTCTTCTCTTTGGGTTGCGGTCGTACCCACGGTACGTTGCTGAATTTCATGGGCGTCAGAATACAGCAAGAGCTACACAATTTCCCGGAGGAGCAACGGTACAGTTGCGATGTACCTTCGTATATACAGGGTGGACCATTTTAATGGGGACACCTTGTATATTTTTTCTTGATTGTTAATAATTAAAATTTATATAAGCAAACTAAAAGATCCGGGTGTTCCTATTTAAATATTCCACCATGTATGTAGATATTTAGGCTAAACATCCACTTTAGATGTTATCTCGGTGTATTATGACGAACCTAATGACGAATTAATCTTAAAGGCTTAGTCATTGCTCGCATTGTGAGAAAAATTCGTTCCCTTCGTTCTCATATTTCAGATATGACGCGGCTAGGGTAATGTACGGTCTAACCAACTTCATTAGATGCCGTTGCGGTGACGATCTTTCTCTGGTCTCAGCCGATCAGTTTGGTAGTTACATAGAGATACCCGGTGGAAATGTAAGAGTGCCTCTTGGATATGTCGGTGTTTTAGCACCATTGCTTAGAGATTTGCCAAGCTGTTGCCTCAAGTAAGTTTAAATTCAAAAAAAAAATCGATCAATTGCGGCTTCCTCTTTTCTTTTTCTTTCTTTTTGTTTTATTTATTTATTGTTTTTGTTTTTTTTTTTTCAGATACTGTAAACCAGTGAGTTCCATCAGGTGGGGTGTCATCGATGATTCCTGTCCTCGTGCTATGGTAAAATGTTGCGACGGAGATGAATATCCAGCCGATTATGTCATCGTAACTCTATCTCTTGGTGTACTGAAACATCAACACGACAAACTTTTTTGTCCTGCTTTGCCACCTGAGAAAATTGATGCGATAACGAAACTAGGGTATGGATACGTTAACAAGATATTTCTCGAGTATGCTAGACCTTTTTGGGTTTGGCGAGAAGGAGGGATCAAGTTGGCATGGTCTGCCGACGAATTAGCGGATAGATGCGACTGGGTTAAAGGTTTTCTCGAAATTTTTTCCGATTCTTTTTGATCCTTGAACGAAAAGATAGCTTTCGACTTTTAGGTATATCTTTCATCGAAGAACTCCCAAGTTCGCAACATGTATTATGTGCTTGGATATGTGGCCGTGAAGCCGCAGAAATGGAACTATGTTCCGATGAAGAAATAGTCGATTCTATAACGCGTTTGCTCCGGCAATTCACCGGTGATCCAACCTTACCATATCCAGCTAATATTCTCAGAAGCAAGTGGTGCTCCGACCAATATTTTGCTGGTTCATATAGTTACATGGCTATGAATAGCACCGTTAACAATCAGTGTCATCTAGCCACTCCTATTCCAGGTGCTCATAATTCTTACCTTCCAATAAATTTTCTTTTCAGAAATAAGATACAGATTTTTCCGTTCTTTATCCAGGTACGTGCGAACCGGTTCCACCGATTCTTTTCTTCGCTGGAGAAGCAACGATCCCGGGACATTATAGTACCGTGCATGGTGCCAGACTTAGCGGAATACGTGAGGCGGAACGAATAATTCAATTGACAAAAAGATATGGTGGTCCTCCTCAAAACTCTCCGTGCAAATTGTGAATGCATTTGTTCTTTTTTTGTTTTTTTTTTTTTTTATATCCAATATTATTAAATCAGTATATTTGTATGCTTGTATATTTATATACTAGTAAATTTTATTTTAAGGATTTTTACGAAATGGAACGACACGGATCAATCAATCACATTATTAAATCCAGATAACATAAACAGCATATATTTCAATAATTATTTGATAACAATGATAAAACAGATAATAGTATTAGTATAATAGTAATATGGATACGAACGATGAAGCACATTCTGCACGTTTCAATTTTTATTATATTCCAGTGGTCCCCATCAACGAACATAATCTAAATCATTACCATGAGTGGCAATATTTCGAATATGCTATATGAATAAGTTTTCGTTATTAAACGACAATTACGAGCTTGATAACCTTTAATAAAACTTAATGTACAAGCTCTCATAAGGAATAATCTAGCTACTTGTTGAGCCGTTCTACGAGCTCTAACTTATTTCTACGTCTATCGTTGTTTTAATCTCGGTGCTACATTTTAACGAGTGTTGAATTTGCATCATTCCGAGCTATATTATATTTTTAAAGGATGTCTAATAGATTACATACACAACTTACACACGATATATATATATATATATATATATATATATATATATATATATATATATATATTGCGTATTAAATATTTCGGTGGGCAATAATACACAACCAAGTTCATAATAAACTATTAAAACAATAATAAATTATAATAACATTTAGTTACCGTTTCAAACAAACTCGTTACTTCGATCGTATCTGACACTCTCTTACATACATACATCGTATAATTTAATTATTTATAATATGATCTCAAAAAAAAAAAATATATATATATAAGAGAAAATAACATATAGATATTTTTTATTAATGATATGTGAGCATTATTATACTTATATATCGTGGCAAATTATGTGCAAACATATCAGAAAATATCAATAGGAACTGTTAGTGAAAATATTCGATTTCGTCACATTGATCTCCATCCATATAAAATTAATTAAACTATTTCATAAATCTTTACGTTATAATATAAACGATGATTGATTAAAATAATACTGTTAAATTATTAAAATGTCGACTTCAATAGGATAAATCCCACATAAAACGTACTAATAATTTTGGAAGAAAAAGAATTTCTAAAGGGAACAAAAAATGACTTATACGAAGAAGAAATAAAATTATGATTGATTACAAGTCGCTGGTGCAAGCGATCTGCAACCACGAGTTATTTGAGCGCGCCATCACTTGGAAACCGAATGCTCTTCCAATACTTCATCGGCTCTCTGCTTAATCTCCTTCCATGAGTAGAGTATATCACTGCTCTCGCTCATCCGTGAGCATATTGCTAAACGAAGAAAATATATATCGTTTATCTTCGATGGAACCAAATGAATATTTCCAGCGCCATTTATTCTCTTCAGAAGAGCCTCGTTCACATCATTAGATGCCTGTTATCATTCAATCGTTAAATTAATCTTATGATATTAATAATAAGTACTAAGTTTAATCGATCTTTTTAAATCTCAAACTATGTTCCAACGATCGTATTTGAACAATTAAAAAAATTGTTAAGTTTAATTTTCTTAAAAGTTTATTCAAAAAATTTACCTTCAATCTAAAGCAAACTAATCCAAGAATAACTTCAGCAACGATTTCGAAACGGGAATCGGAGAGAACAAGTGCTTCGAATTCATGAGCTTGAGCAACGTGTGATCTTATATATTTCTGTAGATTTTCTACCCCGTAGATTCTTAAAACGAACCAGAGTTTAAGTGCTCGGAATCTACGACCGAGTGGAATTTGCCAATGCTGAAAGAAATAAATTCAATTAAAAAACAAAAACAAAAAAAAAAAGAAAAAAAACTGTTTAGATATTCGTACGATGATTAATAAAAGTCATTGAAAGAACAAAAATGAAATATATTTACTCTGTAATCTGGAGCTGATCCTTGCATTTCGTGTTGCAGGTACAATGGATCGACATTAAACGTGTTAATGACGAAAGTTGGATCCTTAAACCACATGGTGGAACAGTCAAAGTTAACCAACATCCATTTGTGTGGATTAAAATTAAATGAATCAGCTTTTTCGATGCCCTTCATTAAATAACGAAATTCCGGACAAATGAAAGCTGAACCTAAATGGAAAATGATCGTTATTTCAAGGTAAAATTAATTTCAGTCTTGTTATCGATTATTATACGTACAATCGTTCATAGAAATATTCAGATATTTTTTTTTTTTTTTAATTATATAAAACTCAATTTGTTTTAAAACAAACAATGACCTCTAAAACGTGAGCATGGAACTTAACAAAAAATGTTCTCTTCTTTTTATGAAAAGGTATTATAATGAATCATGTTAAAACGTATTAAAACGTATAGATAAATTTTGCAAAGGGATACATTCTTATGAAATTACCTGCATATGCGGCGTCTACATGTAACCAAACGGACTCACGATTAGCTACTGGACCTAATTCGTCTAAGCGATCGAAAGCACAAGAACTTGTTGTTCCTAAGGTAACAACGACCTATGAAAAAAAAAAAAAAAAAAAAAAACAAAACAAAAAAAAAGGATATCTCAATGATATAATTTTTGTAGGAATCAATTATCTTAAAGAAACTTACGTAAAATGGAATAAGTCCTTTCTCCTTGTCTTCACGAATAGCCTCTGCTAAAGTCTCGCCACGTAGTTTGTTTTTTGAATCGACCTTCAATAGACGGAATTTTACGCCACCGAGAAGACCAGCTCGTTCGACCGAACTATGTGCTTGACCTAATTGAATATCACATTTGTGATATATTTTTCTTCTTTTTTTTATGTTTCTTTTTTTTTTTTAATTAGCCGAAAAAAATTTATTACATCTAATTTGATTCTTATTAATATAGAATTTCTACGATAAATGATTTTCTATAAAGGCAACTTTTATAGAATTCTAACTTTGTATAGTTCGAGATGACTAATGAAAACGAGAATATGAGGTTTGGGTTGGAAATAGTCCAGTGAAAAGGTTCGACTAGAATATCTCGGCTAGAGTGGTTATTATAGGTTGCCATGGTGACAAAGTGCCGTTTGATGAAGTGTTTCGACCCCATACACGCCCTTGTCAAGCTACTTCATCATCCCTCCCACACACCTCTCTTTCTCTCTCTCTCTCTCTCTCTCTCTCTCTCTCTCTCTCTCTCTCTCTCCCGCTCTACCTTTGTGCCAATTGTGTTGGGCCATTGTCGTTGAAAGCATAAAAGCATTATTTTTAATCACGAATAATATTCCCGGAAAGTGTCAAAAGTGATATCGAAAGAAACTTACAGGATCCGTAAGCCATCATTTTCCCAATGATCTCGTTGTCGGTCCATTCAGGATGCTGCTCTTTAACTTCCTTAATTTTCTTAGCTTTGGCTCCGAGCAAAGCGACTAGAGTTGCCTCGCTTGCAGTTCCCTGTGTTGGATAATAAAACTTCGTAAAGTGATTTCATTCTATTGCGATCATACTTTTCGAAAGAGATAAGAAAAGGATTTACCTGAATAACACCACCACCTTTGCCACCGCTACAAGCTAAAAATTCTTTCGGTAAATCCAACATTTGTCCTAACCAATCGAGCATTATCACTTCTAATTCCGTACAAGCTGGGCTAGCCATCTGAAGAAGCAAAAAAAAAAAATAAATAAAACAAAAAGAACATTTGAAATTGCCAGCGGAACGAAAGTCGTTCGAATTACGATCGAACAATGACCTATTGCAAAACCTACCCATGTAAATCCAATGCACGCAATAGCTCCGCTCAACATGTCTGCAACAATAGCTGGATATGATTGAGCCGTGGGGAAATAAGCGTGAAATTTTGGACTGTGCCAATGAGTTACCTATAATGAATGAAGATATAAATGACTATTCAATATTTTAATTGATATTTTAATGATGGCAAACTATATCAATATATTAATCTATTTAATTTTTATTTTACGATGAAATAAAATATATTTCACGTTTGAATTTGTTCGAGTTGATTTTTTAATTTTCATCTTTAAATAACGACACGTATGATGTGTGATAACTTAAAAAGAAAAAAAAAAAAGAAGGAAAAAGAAAATTATTTCACTCACTCCTGGCATGATCACTCGTTCTACGTCACTCATTATATCCTCCCATTTTTCCGCAGTACGAGGTGCTTCTGAGGGTAAAAGTGGTTTCATGTATCCCGGTTCAATTGTCGGCAAAACCCTCCTAAAATAATTTACAAAAGAATTATATTCGAAAGAATAGAAATTTTCTTTTTATTCTTTTTCCATGCTCACGATCGTCAGAAACTATTCGATTCTCGATCGTGTTTTTCAAGGTCTCCTTTCAAATCAACATTTAATTGTGAAATCAGTAAACGTTCCATGCGTACTGATCCGGTTTTACACATTATACTTGTTTATAAATTAGTGAATAATAAATCTATAATGAATATTTTTTATCTATTAGAATCAACACATTTCCGTTAGTTTATTGATTATGCTTAGCGATCGATCAAGGACTCGAACATCTATGAATTGTCACGGGAGAAAAAAGAAGGACGAATAACAAAAAAAAAAAAAAAAAGAAATCGAATATCAAGATTTTTTTCTATTAAGAATAAAACCAACCTTTCTCTGATATTTTCCAAGTAATTAGTGATGTATTCTATCATTTCTTTGGCAAATTTTTTAAAGTCTTCGGCTTCCATTCTTGCGTATTCCTGTAAAAGAATTATAACAAATTCTAATTGAAAGAAATTTAAATTTTTAACGAGTCGATTATCCAATTTATAAAATTTTATTAAATTAAAATAATGAAATGATTATGTATTAAAATTTTCATAATATTATTGTCACAATCTTTATTTCAGCTACTACAAACTTCAATGAAAATGTTTCACATTCTATTCCCTCTCTATCTCTCTCGACTTTTGTAATCTCTACGTTGAATCCTATAGAAAAAAAAGGGGGAGAATTGATTGATAGAAGAATGTGAAATGAGAGTTTTGATATTCATCGATATATATGGATCGTGTATCTACAGTGAATAGATATATATTTGTAAAACGTTTGGAGAGCCTTCGTATTATGCTACATCTCTCTTCCTCTTTTTCTTACTCTGTCTTTCTCTTACATACTCTCTCTCTCTCTCTCTCTCTCTCTCTCTCTCTCTCTCTTTCTTTTTCCTCTCTCTTTCTCTTTCTTTCTCATTCTCTTTCTCTCTCGCCACTCTCTCGCCACTCTCTCCTTCTTTTTATCTCTTTTTCCTCGCACACCAGGAACACCATATAAATCGACCATATATGACACTCATAATTGGCAAGTGAGTGGCAATGATCTGTCGGCTTAAGAAATGTTACAGGAGGTAGCAACATGTGCGTCGAACAAAGTGTGATGCGAGTATGCAATGTAATGAATGGAAGGTTTGAAGGACGGAAGTATGAAAGAAGGTATAAAGTATTATATATATGTATCGTTATATACAAAGAGAAGTTATATACACATATACACAAATATATATATATATATATATATATATATATATATATATATATATATATTAGAATGTAAGATTCGATCATTCCATTGTAGAAAAGTAAGAGTAATTCTTAGTCCTTGTCTATCTCGTGAAGCAACGTGACCATGACTCATTTTTATGAAGTAACTTTCCTTCGACTAGTTTTGCGTCTTAAGATCTTAGACTTCGCGTATGGCAAGAGACACGAGTTACAATGATACGAGAACGTCTTTAACACTAGAAAGACCGAAATTTAGTATATACTTATATTGCCCAAACGCAGTCAAAATGACAGTATTGTGAACGAATGACTAATGTGTTTTGAAATTTGTTTAAAATTTATTTTTAATATTTTTTATATTATTTACAGTTATATAACAAGTTATTAGTAAATATTAACAATAAAAAAAAAATTCTAAGAATATTGTGTCATTATATACATAATCGTTTCTCTAATTGAAATTAAAAAGCAGAAAATAAATAAGAAATTAAAATAATTATCTTGGGCAATCTAGTGTTAACAATATCTTTTCGGAAACGATTAGTAAGTTAAAAAAAAAAAAAAAAAAAAAAGAAAAGAAATAATAAATTAATAGTGAAGCGATATTATTATTTAAAAATATAATTTTAATTACGTTTTGTTAATTATCGTCTCGATATTTTGTCAGAGATATGCATAATGATGTGCATGAGTCATCGTAGATCGGGAATTTTGTGGGCTTATGACTTCGTTGGAATCGTGACGTCAGTGACAGGACTCGAGCGATCGAGGAAAGTAAAGTAGCGAGAATTATTGACACAAAGAGAAAAAAGAAGTATCGGGTCTTTCCTCATAGAATTTCCTTCAAGATAATAAAAAACAATTAAGATTCAACTGACTCATGTAACGTCAACAGAGATTTCAGATATTTATATTACAACGAAGACATCAATTTCGTATATATCTAACGATCGATACTTTTTGAATTTTTTATTTTTAAACTGTCTACTCAAACGTCATTTTCGATAAATTTCATTCTGTTAAATGTCAAAAGTAAGAATTTCATTATTTATTACGTTTCTAGTTATATTCACGTATACACGGAATACTCAATAGCTATTGCTCAACTTGATTACATTCAAGTTTTTATAAACGCAAGAAATAACTACATACATGTTTTTTAGTTCTAATGATTTCTAATTGATTGAAAATATTTTTGAAATTTATTCAATGACATTCGATTAAATCGTTGTGTAATTATGTAAATGAATTATTTTTATTCATTTATTATTACTTTTAATTCTGTCAAATAGTGTTAAGATATAAAATTGAAACATGAAAATTTAATATTTTATTTACATATTATACGATATTTTCAAATGTTAAATAGAATAAACGTTATCGAAGTATCGTTATCGTTAATTCGAAACTCAGTATACTTCGACAAATCGATTTATTACACATTAACATCCGTATACGATTTTATGAAACGATCTATGAAAAATCATGATCGAGGACACAATGTTTAAATCAACACGCGAGATCTCACAACTAATCACTCAACAACGGTCGACGTACGAAGCAATTACCGCACAATCACTTTTTACGATCGAACGATGGATCGATGATGTAATTCCTTGAAAAAATGATCCCGACTGATATCGGGTGAAAAAGATTACATATTTAAAATATTAAACAAAGGTTAATATCTACGTTTAATACTCGATGAAAATGATAAATGTTATTTTTTTAATAACTTTCGTTCATTAATTGATTAAATGAAAATAAACTGTATAGATATAAAAAGTATTGACAGATAACATTTGAACCTATGGCCTAAAATTGAAACGAATGATTTTAATTTATTTCTAACCAAATATATTGGATTATATATATATTAATAATTATGATACTTATTAATTTCTAAATTTCATTTGAAATGATTGATATATGAATAATAAATATTAATGTTTGTTAAAACTTACCCAAAATTGTGATAGCACGTGTACGCTGTCGTTCACAGATAATATCGTCAATTGACGAGAACAATCTTGAGAGAAGATAAGAGAGTTGATAGAAGAGCTACGGGAAAGAGTATCGCGAGTCGTTGTCGCATGGAATTGTCAGCCCATCGTTTGCCGACGTGCTCTTTATGTAGCACCCCACCTCTCGAACTCGACGAAAACGGCGAGAGCGTTGAAAGCGCTTTTCGAGCACAAGACCTTTCCACCAATCGAATGGCTTTACACGGGGATATACCCTTTCCATGTCCCTGGCCATCCTCTACCTCCCTTCTCTACCTCTCTTCATTGAGATCGATAACGAAAACGGAATCGATACAATTGTTTTTCTCCACTTTCTCTTTCTTTACTTTATGTTATGATAAATTTTATGTTTAACAAAAGTAATATTGTTGATAACTTTCTTAATAATGATTAAATAAAGTTATTTTTTGCGATAATAATATTTATAGATCCAAGTATTTATAGATCCAAGTTCATGTAGAATTTTGGATTTGGTTTTTAATTTATATAAATCATATGTGAACAATTATATTATATGTAAACAATTATATTATATGTAAACAATTATATCATTGTTTATGATCTTAGTTAAAATGTTACATTCCTAACAATAACTTGAATCAAAATTTCTTATAATTTTATTTCAAAAGTTAATCGAATTTAGAATTATTTTAATGATTTACTTTAATGTCTAATGTTATATATACAATAATAGTAATGTTCGATATATATATGTAAATGAAATTTAGATTACAATATATATTTATGTTATTTTTATTTTATTAACGTTAAATAATATTAAGCAATAAAAAAGAATCTGTTACATGAGTTTTACTTTTTGATCGTAATCGATGATCTATTTCTCGATATATATTTCTTTTTTATTTTCATTAAATTCTCTCGATTTTCAGTGAACCTGCTTTTCAACAAACGAAACTAATTCGACAAAGATCGACTCATCTTGATTTTTCCAATCGTTCGTTCAAATCTAAGTTTCATATGGCAACGCCGTTGAAACTAACACTAAGAACAATTAACAATACAATTTCTTTTAACAAAGTATATTTATGATAGACGAATAATCGCATAAGTTCAAACGATTTAATAGAATTTCAAAATGTAAAGCTGCCAAGTGCAGTAAGACAGGAAATACGATTTCAAGTCAGAAATCAAGGAACTATTGAGAGCGACATGATTGAATTAGAACGTATGCATTCAAAGATAGTAGTCATCAGGTTGGAAAATTTTTGCTTTCTGATTTAAAATTAAAAAAGATCATTGCCGTCGTTTTCTATCTTTCTTCTTTATTAACCATTATAACTTTTCATGTCTTAATAAATAAATTAAATGCTTGATCAAATAGGTATCAAAAATTTCGAACAATTTTAAAAATTTAATTAAATCTAAAGATGAAATAAAAAAAGTAAAAATAAAGGCAATTCTCAAAGGAATGATCTTTGTAAAGAACTAGCAACAAGTTGAAAGCGAAATGAGAAACCTGTAGCTTCTGAACAGTTACGTTCGACGAATTCTCGAATGTAATTGAACGATAGATTAGTTTTTGTCGTTCCTTCGCTTTCAAGTTAAATCGATCTATAATACTTTATCGATTTTTTACGAAATGTAATACATACTTTCCATATAACAAATATAAAAAAAGTAAAGAGATAATTATTCTATAATCACAATATCATTGAAAATCTCCAAGGATCATTTTATCTTTTTTAATATTTACAAGTAACAATAAAAAAAGAAAAGTTCTTCGATAGTATGATCGTTAATTTCAGAAATGAAAATAACTCTTCTCTTTTATTTCAATTGTGAAAAGAATCGCTCTTGGGAAACGTTAATTCGCCTCGAAAGTGGATCGAGCTAAGGAGGTAAATCCTAAAAGCTTGCGGAAGAGAGAGAGAAAGAGAGAGAGAGAGAGAGAGAGAGAGAGAGAGGAGCTTTATTTCCCATTGGAAAAGAAAAGAGAGACGAAGTAGTCCAGCAAAGAGACTCGGAGATTTTTCTTCGTAACTTTTTTCTGACTTTTCCACTCTCTCGGACATGCTCAAACGCCTTCGTTTCTCCCGTTTCTTTCGAGCGTTTTCCTTTTTTTCTCATTTTGAAGCCAAAGAACAAGCGTAAGTTTCTTTCGATGAAGTGTGCCGTTGTCATGGTTACCATCAACTAGGATAATCGACAGGACGATTCTTTTTAGTTCAAGATATCGTATCTACTTTTACATCGATTTAAACATTACATAATATATATATATATATATATATATATATATATATTATATATATATATTATATATATATTATATTATATATATAATATAATATATATAATATTATATTATATATCATTATATATCATCTGGTGATTCTATGTGAAACATCCTGTATACATAATACAATATCATATAGATATTACTGGCATTGACTTTATGAGATAATATTTAAACGTAAAATAAATAGAAAATAATTTTACAAAATAGACTTGATAAAGTTAAATGCTTATAATTATAATAAAAACTTTAATTTCAACATTTGAGATTACAGGTCTTCTATACGGGTAACTATGAGATAACGCGACTGTTAGAGAACTATCGGGTCAGGAAATTGTCTTTTGAACAATTTACCCGTCTACATTGAAGAATGATTGTTTCTTGAAAGATTGTAAAAACTTGTTTACGTAAAATTCGTTTATATATAAGTCGAAAAATAGATAAAATAATTTCACATGTACTTTTGTTTTTGTTCACATTGTCAGAAAGATAGTAATCAATTGAATAAGAAAGCTTATTATACAGCAGAATTGTACCTTTTATTTTTCTCGGTCACTCTAGGGAAAAGCTATCGGGAAATGCGATGAATTATGTATAAGATTCTGGTACTAAAGGGAACGTTACCTCGACTTAGGTACTTTAGCAATGTCGAGATGCGGTTAAAATATGATTCTTATTCTTGGAAGTACCTAACGTCATAAATTCTGCTCCTTTTGTAAACTTTGAAAATTATAGGATATTATGTCAATAAATGTAATTGAACGAATATAAAGATATAATTAGAAATTTTATTCACAATGAAACCATTGACTCTAAGAAATAAGTTTTGCTTTTTTGAAAGATTTTATTTTTTATCAGTAGGACAAAGGTATCACATATTTGTGAGACACAAACGTGAAACAGGACGATAGGACAGATAACGAATAACATTGATTTAATAATATCTTTGATTTTTTTTATGGATCAGGTTTATTCGCATGTCTGTAAGTAAACCAATCCGTTACTTCGGGATTTCGAAAAGAGATCCTTTTCTCGAGAAGCTTGTGAGATTCCAAAGGTTCCTTAAATATTTCTTTGTTCCTGAACAAAAGTAATTTGATTATTCCATTTGCCTGTCTAATGAGTTAATGTAAAGATATTTATGATTGCATCGAAAAATGCTGTCCAATTTATATAAAAGAATATATCGTTTTTTTTTTCTTTTTTTTTTTTTTTAAATAATTAGAAAAAAGATATAAATAAATAAAGTTTCATTTACTAATATTTTTTAAAGGGAAAAGGAATCGGTCGTTTACAAACATAAAATCGCAACAAGGATATAATAATCTAACGAGGATTGGACGTGTCTTATTAATTTTCCGCGTTTCTTACTATTTTGTCTTTATTTTACTACTTGGCCCAGATATCCAAAATTGTATCCAGTGATTCAGTGGCATCCAACATCCACACGAAAGACAATAAAGACAGGCAAAATGCCATATGTGTAGCTGCATTTTCCTTAGCCAGATAATAAGCGAATGTCGTCACAAACGAATAACGACTCAAACCTATCGTCGTGTTTAACCATAGTAACTAAAAATAATTGCAAAAGATAAGAGTCAACGTATTGGAAATTACCTTCAAAATAAACATAGAAATATAAAATAATTTCTATATAAATAGAAATTATATTCAAAATAAACATTTATATGTTATATTTAATACTGATATAAGCTTTAGTACATACATTTGGTATATAGATTATAAGTACTTTTTATTACACTCTTACCCATTTACTTGATTCTTGAGTTAAGCAATATATTACATGCATCAATGGTAGCCAAATAGCTCGAGTTACAAGATTTGTTGCCAAAGCAGCCACCAACATCTTTTCGATAAAAAATAATCAAAAAATAATGTAATAAAACGAAAATGGCTAAGTTAAAAATATACTTTACCTCGTAAATATAAAGAAGTTGTATCGGTGGTTCTTTTAATGATCTTGGCCAGAGTCTGTACTCAGCAACAAGACATAAAGCCGAGAAAACGAAAAGTATCGAAGAATAAGACGGATCAAAAGGTGGATTATTTTCCTCTTCGAAACACAAACCGACTATACATATGTGTCTGAGATAAGTGTACATTCCTGCTGAAACTATAGCTACCCAATGAGGATTAATATATCCGACGTATTCCTTGACGGTGTCCATATTGTATATTAAGCTAACGTGTTATCATTTAGATCTACCATCAATTTCGCCGTCAATTAAACATGTTACCGGAACATGTTAGTTAGGTTACTGACATACATAAATGTCAACATCAAAATTAGAGAGAGAGAGAGAGAGAGAGAGAGAGAGAGAGAGAGAGAGAGAGAGAGAGAGAGAGAAAGAGATAATAAACAAAAGATAATCATTGAGATTTAACAAAATCGTCGTCGCAGTTTGAATTTCTTTCTTTTATAAATTTGAAAAATCGGAAAGAAAGTAGTTTATTTCGATAACTCGAGATATCAGCAATGTCGTAGATATTCCTTGGATATCTCGACTTTAGAAAGAAGGAAAAAATTGCTGATGGAGATGTCCGTCGATCTCCGTAATGGCAAAATTGTTTTGCACGATATGGGCGTTGATGCTGAACAGCTTAAATGTGTCCATTTTTAAAACGTGTTTCGCCAATGCGATAGAAGACGATTATGGTGAACCCTTAATCACAGGACCACCTATCACGAGTTTTCTCTTTGCTGCTGGAGTCTACATCATCGTGGTTAAATCAACGCTTTTTCCACAATCCTTTCGCAAACCTAATCCAATATTACTTTGCTTTTACGAGGTTATTTTACTTGAACTTAGATTAAAATGATTTTTCAAATATTAGATTATTCAAATCTTTCATTTTTTTCTTTTTGATTATTTAGTTTCTCACGACAACGTTCTTCCTGGAGTTCTCGATTGCCTGCATCTGGACACCCATCGATGTTCTCATGCTAACCTCTCTACCCAAGGCCATTTGCCACGTAACGTAACGATCTCCCGTTCATTCCGTTGATCGCATTTGTTGCGATAACAATTAAAAGACTTCGCTTACCTTTGTACGCGCTTGTGTAAGCGTGATCTCTCTCTCGCTTTTTATATTTTATTCTCATGCTCTCTCATAAGATTCCTCGATAATAGACTCTTCAAGATTATGGATTTAACGAGGCCGCCGAAACCTTCGTAGCTAACAAATCGTCTATGGCAGCGCTTAGTTACGGAACTGCAACGACCTTCTTCTTACTTGCATTGCACGTTACTAAAACGGTCGACTACACGATACTTACGTATGTTCCAAAAAAATTTACGCCAAGTAAACATTTACGCTCATTGAACAAGAGAAAAAAGAAAATAAATATTGTCGATGATTCATAATAATTTACACCACGTTAAGAATATATTTATCAATAGTCTTTGTGGATTCAATATCTCTATCGATTCATTAATTTTTTATTAATACAATTGGATAATTTTTATGAAGATTTAAAAATTATTCCATTTGCTTTTTTAATGATTATTTTCAGAGACTGTGGATTTACTTGCTTTGGTTCTTATTTGAAAAATAAACTGTGGCAGCAAATACAGAGCGAACTTCCGAAAACAAAGCAAATTAAAAAGTGTTCGTGTAAATCTCGAAGGAAAAATCGCAGTAAAAGTCGTGGCAAGGATCCCAAATTATAAACATACGCATGACGTATAATAAAATTAAATAAATTAAAAACTCTCACCCGAAAACGTAATGGCTTTCAATTTCCTTTCCCCTCTATTTCTATTCTTTCTCTCTTTCTCTTTTTTGTTTTTTTTTTTTTTATGAAAAAGAAGGCATTTATTTCATCCGAACTGAAATGTAAAGTACAAATTGTATAGATAATATAGTGATAATAATATAATAATTAATCGTTAATAATAAATATTAATTCAATTAATAATACGGTATGTTCCAAAGTATATTGCGTTCATATACGTCTATATATTTATGCGATACAAATATATATACGTATACACTCGCACGAATGTCCGTCTGTATGTATATGTTTATGTATGTACGCGTAGTGTATGCGTGTATTGATTGTGTGTCTGTGTATCTGTATGTGTGTGTGTGTGTATGTGCGTGTATATCGAAGTTGTACTAACGGGTTGTGTGACGTGTGTCGGTGGCAGCATTACATTATGTAATTAATGAATTATATATTACAATGATTCCTCGTCTCGCCGACGGACGGCCGCAGATTAAGTCCACGATTACTTTTCCGTATACTCTTCGACCTTTCCACGGCTTTGGCCCGCACATAACGCGTGTCGTCGGCTGCGTTTTTCAAACGTGTCCGTTGAGATCTCGCTTTTCTTCTTTCCCTTCGTGCGCACGATTAGGCAGTGCATAGAAATTTATAGCGGATATGTAGGATGGCCGTGAATTGTTTCCTAAGGCTTCCAATTCTTTACTTTTCCCTTTTTTAATTCTTCTTAGGCGGAATTGCTGCTATTCTCTGATCACCGGAGATGAACGAAGTATCTTGAGTATCGGCGAATTATCTCGCAAAGATTTTATTTACTTATGATGGGATTAAACGTTTGGAAAAGGTTGTACGTGGACCAAGGATGGGCTTGATCGAAAATGACGGGGATTTGGGAATTCATTTCTAGAAAGTGGAACGAGTTTTAAGGAATGTTTCCCTGCTACTACGGCCTTTCTATTAAATTCGTCGCGATCCACGATCTTTTTCTTACTTTTTATTTTTTACTTTTTCTTTTTTCATTTTTACTTCTCTTATCCCTCATTGTCAGTGCTGCCGGCATTAGGAAAATAAACAAACAAACAAACAAATAAACAAATAAATAAATAAATAAATAAGTAAAGATTTCACGATTAAAATGACGATTTGTTCTTTGGTAAAGTATCAATTATTTGGTAAATTTTCGACGTACAAGTACATATAAAAAAAAAAAAAGAAAAAAAAAAGAAGAAAAGAAAAAGAAAAGAAAAGAAGATACGATATTCTTGGAAACGCGAGTTTATCTTACAGGAAGACGCAAAAAATAAGCGCCTATTTAGAATTGCAAACTGTTCCGACTCGTCTAATAAGATCGTTGCTGATGTTTTCAAAAGGTTCGATTCGTTCGAAGAAATCTTTCCGTATTGTCCCCAAGTGGATAGATTCCCGTAAAAAACAAAACAGAAAACTTTACTTTTCGATGATTCGACGTATTTTTTTTTTTTTTCGAATATTCGTATATCTGCATACCTTTTACTCGGATAATTCGGATACGAATATTTAAGAGGTAGGTGATATTACATGATAGGCGAGAGTATAACGGCACAAGACTCGGTACTTACTTAAATGTACTTACATAGATACGTGATTCTTTCTACCGAACAAACCGTACGAATAAAACGCTAACAATATCTTCGTTGTTGCGAATATTCGAACGGTTCGCTAAATTCGCGTCGAATCGCTACATACACAGATATACATACACGCCTTGTTCATTCGAAATCGAACGATAACGAAGCGAAGAAACCTCGACATTTGAAATACGCCACTATAATACTTCAAAGAAGAAGTCGTTCGTGTTAACTCGACGAATTCGGAACATTCCTTCATAAAGATCCTCGAGAATTCAATATTTTCGCGTTTGGATACGATCGAAATCGATGATTAATGCTAATAACGATAACGATAAGTGTACCACGTGAAACTATTAAGATTCCATTGCGAATGAGCGAGTTTAGCAGGACCAACGTGTGTTCGATCGATTCTTCTAGCTAAAACCATTTATCGAAATCGCACGAGCGAACCGTTAACGGCGATTTGGAGAATGCGGGACGCTGCGTTACGGATACAACTCAATATCACAAATATTATCGAAAAAACGATAGGTACTTAAAAACCCAACATCGAGCGAATAAGTCGATGCTTAATCAGGGAAGGGCCCAATTATACGATATAACACGTCGACCGACGTCACACTCACATACGTTAATTACAGTATTCGTACAAGTGCTTATCGATATACGCCACGAATCCCGAAACGGGATTCGCCTAACCGGAAAATTGACTATTTTAATATTCCCTTAGAGAATTTTACAAATCAGTCGAGACTCGAGTGCATGAAGCGTTCTGTTCTTCTTCTTCTCTCTCTCTCTCTCTCTCTCTCTCTCTCTCTCACTCTTTCTTTCTGTAGGAAAATTACACGCGCTAGAAGCAAATAAACGGACGTGGAACTTCGTTGAGTTTGTCCTTTAAACAAAAAGGACATTTACTGTCGCCGTTCCTAATTGCTTGCACGTGTATTTCCCCTTCTTAATCTCTCTTATTACTATCGCTTCGTTTTCCTCGCTTTCTATAGATATAGGTATGTATCTTCCTCTACTAACTGCTCCCGATGACATAAAATAAATATTAAAACTATGTCGAGATATATACTATATATAACTTGATAGTAAGAACCGTCGACTCTCTCGTCCTCTGTGTCCGAGCAGATTTCGTATGTACGTACGTGCATCGCGTGTACATATATGTTTATATATATATATATATATATATAAACATATTTTATATTTATATATTTATATCGCTATGTAATAATAATAATCGTAATAATTACATATGCACGCGGTAACTTTACCCACGGACTTTCTTCGATGCACGTCACCGCTCTTCTATATATAAATTCATATTTATAATATATATATTTATATATATATATTTATATCTATTACAATAAAAATAATAATAATAATAATAATAATAATAATAATAATAATAATAATAATAATAATAATAATAATAATAATAATAATAATAATAATAATAATAATAATGATAATGACAATAATGGCAATGATAAAAGGTCTAATAATAATACCGGTTGTAATGGAAATGAAGACGATAATTTTCACGGGGGATGATAATGGGATATTGACAACGAACAATGCTTTTTTAATGCATTGTAAAGTGACAAGTTTCAATACGGTATCTCGATTAAAATCTCAAACGGTTAACGAGTCCTCCTTTTATTCCTTCTCGTGGTCATCTTTGGAGGAAAGATAAAAACTATAATGCGATAATATTTGCTTTTATTTGGTAGATAACGGTAGGTCCGTTCGCATATGGTGAAACAATGAAAGTGCGATGCCTTTCTATCATCCTGATGTAAATAAACAACGTGACCAATGTATGGTGATGAGAACTAATTAATAAATACAAGTCGATAAAATCGATAAAAAAGTCCCACGTATACACCCTTGGATCGACTACGTATACGTGTAACTATACAGATAGGTATGTCGTATGTGTATCTCTGTTTTTGTTATGTACCACCTACGTATACCGTCGTTTAGGTATGACTCGAAAATTATTGCAACGTTCGTAATGCGATGGGGCAAAAGCTCTCGCTGAGATCACTTTGGAACTATATTTTGAACTTTCTCACCGATCGTTGCGTCGGTGCACCTTCTTTTACTTTCGATCATTCAAACTTGAATGAGAAAGTCTCTTTTACGCAGCTCCTCTCAGATCTCGATGATCTATCATCATTGATCCTTCGAATCTCACGTAATATTGGAGAGAAAGTTTCAAAGTTTCGTGTTTCTTTCTTTCCCTTTTTTTTTTCTTACTCTTTTCTTTCTTCCTTTCTGTTTTCTTTTTTCTTGTTTTCTATTCTATTCGTCTATTCGTCTGGTATATTCAACGAACACGAACACTTCCAATTCGGATCGTGGGAAAAATTCGATGGACCTAGATTGACAAAAGATATCTAATCCTCTTCCTCGCTTTCTTCTGTTGTGGGACCGTACATATCTGCAAGTTTGTCGAATCTAGGACCCCAAGCGCCTAAATATTCGTACTCGTGTTGCTCGTCATCTGTTCCTGAAAATAATGGTTCTCGAATTATCTCTTCCCGTATAATCAATTTTCTTTTAAGATCAAAACATACCCGAAGCCAAGGACGAAAGGGAACCTGCGGTGCTTCCGCCACCTTCATACGCATAATTTCGTAAATCGTCGAAAGGTGGTGCATTAGGATCACTGTCGGCTCTTTTCTTATGATCTTCGATAAAAATACCCACATTAGGCTCTGGTCCTAATGGATCTATGCAAGAGATCATCGATACATTGAATTAAAACCAAGCATCGTCAAAGTATTAATATGTTCATTTCTTAATTAGAAATAAATCAATATATATATATATATATAAATCAATTTACTTAATATTATATGAAAGTATATTTTAGAAAATATACTTTATAGTATTCTAAATGTAAGAAAACAAGTTTTAAAAAGGATTTTAAATACTATCATTGATCGTCATTATAACATTCGAGGTGATAAAATTTATCAAGTTAAATATAAAACTTACAAGCTACTTTACACGGTGCTAGTTTTCCACCCATTTCTGGAATAGGACCACCAATTGGAATCTGTAATGGCGTTATGTCGAACGCCGTCATATCATCTTCCCCACCTCCTTCGTCATCGTAATTAATAATATTCTCTCTCACATCGTCGTCTGGCCCAGGATATTTAATATGAGCCTCCCTTCTTCTATTGTAGACGACGAATACCAGAACTAAGACTGTAACGAACGCCATGTGTTCATTAATACTTAGACTCTTAATAGACTCATAAAATTTGATAGAGATA